TTCAGAACCTCGATCCACGAAGCCATGGAACAGCAGTCGATCTCGATCTCGAAGGCTGGTATTGTGACGACGTTGCAGGCCCGTTGCGCCATCGTCGCCGCGGCCAACCCGATCCGAGGTCGCTACAACCCAACCATCCCGTTCAGCCAAAACGTCGAGTTGACGGAGCCGATCCTGTCGCGTTTCGATATCCTCTGCGTCGTCAAGGATACGGCTGACCCTGTTATCGATGAGATGCTCGCCAAGTTCGTCGTCGGAAGTCATTTGCGCAGTCATCCCGAGTTTGACCCCGCCGTGGACGAGGTGCAGATCGCGACAGCGCTCGATCTGGATGTGAGTGTCCCCCCATCTAATACAATGAGTGCATCAGGTCCAACTTGCTGACTGAATGCCGTCCAATCGCGAAATAAACAGCTCATCCCCCAGGACTTGCTGCGCAAGTACATCCAATACGCTCGCGATCGCATCAAGCCGCAGCTGCACATGATGGACCAGGACAAAATCTCCAAACTCTACTCGGAGTTGCGCCGCGAGTCTTTGTCGACGGGGTCGTACCCGATCACGGTGCGACATCTCGAGTCGATGATCCGTATGGCCGAAGCGAGCGCCAAGATGCACCTACGCGAGTACGTGCGCAGCGACGATATTGACCTCGCGATCCAGGTCATGGTAGGATCATTCGTGTCGGCACAGAAGTCGTCGATCAAGCGGCAGCTCGAGCGAGGGTTCCGCAAGTACTTGCGCGTCGCGACCGATCATGAGGAGGTGCTCGCCTTCTTGCTTGGGCAACTCATCAAGGACCGAGTGCGTTACCTCACCGTGCGCAACGGACAAGCCCCGGCGAGCGTGGTGATCAAGGTCGCCGATTTCGAGACGCGTGCCAAGGAGTTGGAGATTTACGACATCGAGGCCTTCACCAAGTCGGCCTTGTTCCGCACCAACGGCTACACCCGTCGCGATGGCGACATCACCAAGTCGTTCTCGGACGAGATTTAGACGGTGGGGTTCGAGGAAGACGGAATTTTGTGGGTTTGGAATGTGACCTTGGCCATCTATGTAGCTTTAATATGTTCCTAGTTCGGGGGGTTTGTGTCTGAATCTCTTGGGACGCTTAGCTGCGTTCTTGTAATGCTGTAACACTTTTCTCCATCCCACCCCCTCGGCGAGTGCCCCGTGACCAAACCAAGGGGCGCTCCGAGCAGGACTTCCGCGCCCTCAGCTCATACACACCTGGCGCAACAAAGTCTTGAGACACTTTGTTTTACGTTTCACGACACATTTTGCAGTATTATCACACTGGAGCAGAAGTAGACATCCTGTGATGGGTACATTGTACGTGATATGATTGGCCGCCGCGACTCTGGCCAATCAGACACGTCTGCGACTTTGTGCATCTGTAGGCGTGCCAGTGGCGTGCCCCGACCGGTGTCACGCGCTTCACTCCTTCCCCCTCCGCTTTCGACGCATACACTTCGGAGTCTGAAACCGCAGGACCACTGGGCGATCGAGACGCTGTTGACGCCATCATATCTCTCCGTCGAACCATGAGCTCGCGCCAATAACACGAGTGGATGATCCACGGGCTCTTCGTCTTGGAGGATAAAGCGTACTCAGCTGCACCACATTCATCTCCGCCGTGCTTCGCCGCTCCCGGACCCGTTCCCCTCTCAGGCCTGTTTCCGTCGGGGGCAGTGGCCGAAACCGTCGCCGTGCATCGCACCAGGCGCCTTCTACCTCGGACACGAACGAGCGGCTGGACCTGTAACTCGAGATCGACCACGCTGGAACAGTCAAGATGATCATCGACGGTATCAAGTTCACGTGCGAGACCTGCTTGAGGGTCAGTGCGCTCGCCTTCCTCTCTGTCTCCGCTGCGTGCTGTCCGCCGTCCGGGCCGCGTCGTCGTGTTCGCTGAACGGCGGCACGATCCGCGCGGCGACTCGCTTGCGTGCGGAGCTAGTGGGTTTGGGTCGCATGGGGGGCGGTAACTGACGATCCAGTTCCCGCTGCATCATCTACAGGGGCACCGCAGTGCCAATTGTCCAGAGGCCCACGGCGATCGTCCGCTCACCGAGGTCAAGAGTACGTCCAGCTCTTGGGCCCTCTCCCGGATGCGACCTCGCGCCGGCCACGAGCTGCCACGAGGCGCGCAAGCTGACGCTCGCGTGGGCTCCTTTCTACCATCAGAGAAAGGTCGACCCAAGACGCAATGCTCCATATGTCAGCGCCATCGCCAGGAAACCAACACTCATATGAAGTGCCACTGTTCTGGCGAGGGCAAGTTCGATGGGGCCCATGAGCATGATTCATATCCCACCGCTTGGACTGACCACGGTACGACGTTCTGCCGAATCTGCATCACAGAACGCCTTCCGCCCATTACTCTACCGAATGGAGCAACAGAACTGCTCAACAACCCTTCCTTCTCGCTGTTGAGGCGCAACCCATCCCAAGTCTCGTCAAGCTCTTCCACGCGTTCATCGGCCTCCTCGACGGATAACCCACACGATACGAGCACCCTTGGGCGCAAGAAGAGCGTCTCGGGCAGTCGCAAGAAGGACTCGACCGCCGCGAGCAAGCCCCACAACTTGGCCCATGGACATGAAGCCACGACGACTCACGTAGCCCATACCTACTCGCCGTACCCCGTCGTAGGATGGCACCCACCGCACGGTCACTCTGCCTCAACGCGCGCCTCCTCTTCAGCCTCCTCTGCTTCTTCGCGCAAACCTTCCCCTTCGACGAGGGCCGAATCAATCTCACCGCAGCCCGCAGTCTCACCGCACGACATAAAGCCGTCCCCGAGCGAGCTCTTTCCTCAGCAAAGTCAAGTGTACATTCCCGCGCCTGCGCATATCGCCCGCGATGCTCCTAATTTGGAGCCGAAAGCCGAAGAGGACACTTCCGATGCCGCGGTCGAACGGATCCTTGCCTCGCTCGACCCAAGTTTTTGGCATCTGGCAGACAGCCCACAGGTGCCTGGACCGCCCCCGCAGGAGAATGCGATCGCCTACACTCCAACGTCTACGAAACCCCCGAGCCACGCATGGCAGATGCCCCTCAGCGTTGAAGAGCTGCAGAACTGGGACTTGATGGGTGCAGGTACACACGTCACGCCCGACCCGTCGGTGATCGCCAACCCCAACGTTATCAGTAGCGAGAACGGCTCACACCCCCACTCCGCCTTCGGCAGCGTGAATGCGCCCTTTCAGGTGCCCTCGAGTTCTTGGCCCTCGTCAGCTTCGTCGTCAGTTGGAGGCAATGGGAGCGTCGTATCTTCTCCTTCTCAAGACCGACCGGTTTGGCCCGCTCTCGAGCTCGTGCCGACGTTTGACACGGAGGCTCAGATCGATCGATGGCGCCAAGTGACCGATTTCGAAGCCAACGACTTTGTGGATCCTCAACAGGGGCTCATCGAGCGAACCACTTCGTTCGAGATCCCATCCAATATGGAAGCCCTGTCAGGCCCACCATTCTCAGTCGCCGATGCTTGGACGACGACCCCACTCACACAAGCTTCGGTCACGTTCGCCGATGCACCCGTCCTGTCCACCCGAGCGTCGTTCGAGGAGACGCTTTCGAACCAGAACTTGGGTGGCTTTGACGAATCTAGCTCCTCCCTCCGCATGGATGACCGCTGCGAGACCATCACACCTTTGTTCTACGAAGTTGCGGATCCCTACGCTTTCAACTTTGATGGCTCTGCAGGTGGCACCGGCTCGATCTACGGTCGCGATCCGCACCCTTCAACCTCGAGCGGAGGCTATCGCCACGAGCACGACGAGGACTTTTCCTACCCTTCCAGCGCATCGTCGACTTTCTCCTCCGCCGCGTCCTCCAAAGCCGCTTCGTCGGTCGATCCCTCAGACGATTACTCGACGGCTTTCAACGATTTCGACGCTTCGACCCCCTTCAGCACTGAACATGAAGCACGATCGAATCTCGAGATTGCGTTGAGCGAATTCACGTTGGGGAGAGGAGGGGAAGGAGCGAGGAACCAGCAGTTCGATCATGATTTCGCGGCGAGGTCGGCGAGTGTGGCGGCGGAGATTGCGGCGAGGCAGAAGGAGATGGAAGCGCTTGATCAGGAGGACGGGTCGGAGGATGAGGAAGATGGAGAGGGGGAAGAAGAGGAAGACGATGACGAGGAAGATGAAGAGGATGAAGATGAAGAGGATGAAGACGAAGACGGGGAGAAGGATGAAGAAGAGGATGGAATTGAGGAAGAAGACGAGGCGGAAGAGGAAATCGAGGAAGATCGACAAGAGAAGGAGGCGGCGCGTCAATGGCGCGCTTATCGCGAAGAAGCCGAGGAAGCGGTGATTATGCTCAACGAAGATGGCGACGAGTTCACTGAACCACCGCTGGACGATGATTCACTGAAACTTGGCGGGATCGATGTTTCCGTCGACGGGGGGGCTGGAACCGGCGCGATCAAGGATGATGATCGTCTCAGGGGGGGCATTTAGCATTTGATGATGTACACCATACCATATCTCTTCAGAATAGATGTTGTCGTTCCCGAGCCATTACTTGCCAATTGCTTGAGCTGTAATCACTAAGACTCTTTTTGGATCCTTCCTGGCCGAAGTGTGGTGGTTTGGGCGGATGGCGGCGGCCAACACAGGGGGTCGAATGCTTCGGTCCTCCGATCAACGGCGCGATCTGTTTATTGAGCAATTTTGGCTCGCTGACGCGTATTTCGACAACTTGAAACGACCCAATGAGGAACCCTTGCAGTCTTGAAAGGTCGCTCGCCCTATTGTGGGGATGACAAACCTGCCTTTGAGTGAGTGCAGTGGTACCGCGCCGGTGCCAGTTGCCGTTCCGGGATTCGGCGACGCGACGCGTCTGACTCGAGCTTGCCTTGCTGCCTCGATCGGCTGAAGCTGCACGTTCCACTCTTGGCTTCTTTCCCAACGCTCTGCGCCTCGGCTCAGCGTCCCTCTCCACCATCAGGGCCCTGATCCATCCATAGCCTACCCGTATCGCTCCACACCATGGTCAACCACGTCCCTGACACGTCCTACGGTCCGCGATCATGGACTCTCGGCGGTGGCGGCGGTGGCGGCGGTGGGCCTTCGGACTCGGTGTCGTCGACGTCAGCTGCAGCGTCTCCGACGTCCCCGACCGCGGGTGGACCTTCGAGCTTTGTAGCCTCGACGCCGACGTCGAATGGGCATCTCGGGAGGAGTGCTGGGCCTTCTGGAGGCAAGGGTAAGATGAGGGCTAAAGAGGCGTATGGGTAAGGGTCATCCGTGTTGCACTCTCGAGGTCGTCACCGGTCACCGCTGTGCATGAAGCGTGTGGGGGCCGCCAAGTCGCCTCAGCTGCCAGCAACTTCGAGACCGACCTTCGGGATTTGGTGTGGACATGATCGACGCCCTGCATTTGGAGGCGACGAACCTTACAACTCTCTCACCGAGATGAGCTTGTAGCTAAAGCACACAGCACACTGCAACATGTCTTGCTCCGTGCGATCGAGCTCCGTGGCGACGTCATACTCGACGAATAGCTTCGAGTCCGCTTCAACGACCAAGATGTCAAGTTGCTGACCCGACTACACCTTCCTCAGATCGGTTCCGATACAACATCTACCTACCGAACTACTGTCCCACGTTTTCGCCCACCTTTCACCGTCATCCCTCAATGCGGCACAGCTCGTCTGTCGAAGGTGGAACGAGGTTATTTCGGACGAAGCGAGCTGGAGGGTGGGTCGATGCAACGCAATCCGAAATTCTCCCGAATGCGTTCGTTCTGATCAATCGCTTGTTTTGAACACAGAGCGCCTTTGAAACGTACTATGGGCTCGTAGCGCCGAATGGATCGGTCTCGCTGGGTCGCCGGATCGAACCGACGTCATGGAAGGCAGAGTACCGCAGTCGGGTCTTGTTACTGCAGTGAGCTGACAGGAGACTAGATCTAGTCCGTTTCTCGGCGACTAAAATACTTCTTCATGGACATCTAACAGTCGATGGAGCAAGTCTCGTACTCCAGCTCTGACCCACAACCCTAACATCGGGCCCTTATCATCGATGCACATCAATCTGCCCTTCTCGCAGGGGGCTGCCACAGGTTCATCCTCACCTCGCACACCGCACGCGGTTCTGTCGCCGGTATTGCTCTCCTTGTCCGAGCAGCTCGGTTCGGCCGCTCATTCGATCCCTTTCACTGGCAAGGTGACCCGAGGAACCATGCACGCCACGCCCATGGACAACCTAGGTCGCCCGTTCGGCTTTGCGCCAATCCCGGTCACAAGCTCGGTCATTTCACTCGATGGGACGCGGATAGTGTTTGGTATGGCGGATGGAACGATCCGAATCGTCAGCTGTGGAGCGACTGGCCGAGGTGTAGTAGCCGGTGTGGGAGAGCGAGGTGAAGTGAGAGCCATCGACAACGCCCATCGAGAAGGAACGGATGTTGTCGCGCTCGCCTTTGGTCGGCCGGGCTCACGGATTCGAGCCGATGTGTTCGTTTCGGTGGGACAGGATGGGTTAGTCGCCGTCTGGCAAGTGAGCTCGAACTCAAATGCGAGGGATCGGATGGCACCCGCGATCAAAATCTGGTCCACTCGCGTCGACGCGGCGATTCGAGCGACCGTTGTCAACGATGCACGACTCGGATCTGAACCTCCCAAGGTGACTGCAGTGGCATTCGATCCCAGTTGGAGCGGTAAGCAGTCTCGTCTAGCCGCGATCGCTCTAGGCCTGAGCACTGGCGCCGTGCTGTGTTGGACCCAGATCGACCTTGAGACCCGGCCCGTGCAAGAATCAGCCGAGACTTTCTCCTTCCACGAGCTTGATTCGCGCACTACAGACCCCATCGATGTCCTCCATTTCGATCACTCTTCACTGCATGATTCGCATCGATTGTTGGTCCATGCAGCAGGTCAATCCGAGTTCTTGAAGTACTCGTTCGATGCCGCACCATCTCCACCTGCGCGCGTAGTCTTTACGCATCCGTTCAAGCACCTCGGAAACTTGACGGCGTTCGCATTCGACTTTGACGAACCTCCCGCTTCTCTGGCGCTGGTTCACTTGACACCAAGAGAAGGCCGCATCACGGGGTTCACCCCTAACGACCCTTCGACTCCCGTCCATGAGAACCTCCCGACATCTTCGAGCAAGGCTTCGCTTGCTTCATTCGCAGGGTCGACAGCATCACTGCTTGAGGCTGAGCTCAGTCATCCCTCAGCGGATATCCCGCTAGCGGGGGGCTTGAGCTCTTTCGGTCGACGCAAATTCGTCGTTGCTGGCGACGCTTCAGGCCGAGTGCACACGTGGGACTGGGACGTCGACTCGACCGATGCCAAGGTCAACCCTCATCAAACGACGACGACCTCCGAATCTCGCGTGACGGCGCTCGAAGTGACCGAGGCGATGATCTTTGTCGGATCACTCGACGGAACGGTCCGCTGTTACGACGCGCTGACGCGTTCGCTGCTGCGAACGTTTAAGGATCGAACGGCTCCGCGAATGCCGGCTCGGATGCTAGCGGCAGGCCAGATCGATGCCAACGACGAGGAGCGATGGAGTGTCTCTCACATCCGAGCTAATCGAGAAGCCGTAGTGGCAGCAATCGGTAATCGCGTGCTCGCTTGGAGGATCGCGGCCGATCTGGGCAAAAAGAGGCTTAAGGGCGTCGCTGGCGTAGGAGGCAAGATGTCGGCTCGGACGGAACGCTTCAGGTCCGGGATGGAGCTGAGGTCCGAGATCAAAGAGTCGATCGATTCGCTATCGAACGAGTCCATCGATCGGATCCAGCGGCTGACGAACGAGCATCGTATTGCCGTCAACTTTGGAGTACCGTCTTCATTGGACAACATGACCGAGGATGAAGCGGTCGCTCTTGCCTTGATGCTCTCGGCGGAGGAAGAGGAGGCGAGGTGGTTTACTGAGTCAGCAACCAGCTCGGCAGTCAACTCGCCGGCTTTTGAGCCCATTCCGGAAGAGCTTCTCGACATGGAGGGGATGTCGCTCGACGATTCACCAGAAGCGTACTACGAACGACCCAGCCGATCGTTTGGCAACCGGAGACCGTCATCGTCTTTGGCGCACGACTGGGACGACAATGACGATGACGATGACGATGACGACGACGATGACGACGACGATGACGACGACGACGACCAGGATCACTCATCAAGACCTAGTCTCGGTGCTTCGCGATCGCTATCGCTTTCTGTCCCTACTTTTCCCACGCTGCGAGGGTCATCACTCTCGAATGGATCCCCTTCACCTTCAAGTCGCTCGACGTCTTTCACGTGGCGCCCGGCCTCGCACTCACCTCAACACGCGTCGCCTTCCTTCTCGTCCTACCATCTTTCATCCACGTCCCCGTATGCCAAAGTACAGTTGTCGCCTAGGCTTGCACCTACGTATGGCTCGGCAACAAATCGAGGCTATCCTCCCTCTGGACATGTTCCGGACATGAGTGCCGATCTCTGGCCCGTCGCTTCGAGCTCGACATCCCACTCGCCGACCCCAAGCAGCAAGAGCAACGTTAGCCCGACCCTCAGTCCCGCACCCGCGACTCCAGCGAGTAGCACCACGACGAAACGAGGTTGGAACGTCGTTGCCAGGGCCGGATCGACGTCCCCCTCTCCTTCTCCCAGTCCTTCACCTCTGCATCCTTCCACTCGACCCACGAGCTCGCTCTTCGCGGCAAGTCAACATGGTGGGACTTCATTGCTGACGCAGCAGTTGAAGGGGTCTACGTTAACCCCCGCGGATCTGGTTACGGACGAGGCTTTGACGAGGGGTATCCAACAGAGTCGGGAGGAGGAGATGAGGAGGAGGGAAGAAGAGGATCTGAGGTTTGCGATCGAGTTGAGTATGGCTGAGGAAGCTTCGAGAAAATAACCCTTGTTGTACTTTGGGGAGTGAAATGTCACCCAAAAGGATTTACAGCGGATTCGACGCAGGGAGGCCTCTTGATCGCCAGCAACAACCACAACGGAAGTGAGGCGCTCCTGGCCGCCCCCCGATTGCCGGTTGCGTTACCTGAGCTCACCAACCCGAGAACCGCACCTATCAAACCGCGCCTCGTTGTCCGCCTCGTTAACCAGGCCACCATTCACTTATCACGCCATGACACGAGCTAATTCCACCTTTTCATCTCGAGATATGGATTGTGGTAGCCAATACCCTCGGACAATGAAGTTTTACAATTAACGCTGGTGCACACATGGCTCTAGGCAGACGTTTCATCCGAGTTCAGGTGACGAACAGGAGGTGTCGCACGATCATTTCACAGCGCGCACGGTCGCCTCGGCGAGCCCGCCCAAGTGATTTTCTACCGAGGCTTCCCGACGTACAGAACGCCGAACTACGGTTACTATTATTTACCTTCCTCTCTTAACCACTCAACTGGTGGGTACCAGGTAACTACATAGAGATGGCTTGTACAAAATCGCCGAGACGGGTGTTTGGCCTGGCCCCAAGTATCCGCTCCCCATGGTATGAGTCCTCGGTTGAAGTCTCCGGATTAAATGATATCCGCGCGTGATCTGTCAAAATGTCGCATTTAAGCGACACGTGTTTGTTCTCAGCTGTTGTCACTCGCGGCATCTCGTTGCCGTCGATCCGAAGGTTACACCGGGGCCAAAAGGCTCGCACTCCGTTTTTTCCTTCGGTGACTGGCTCGGGGAGTCACCTGCGTATGGGCGGAGACAAAATGTCCCGGATAAAACCCGCGCTTCATAATTCCTAGTGCGTCGCTTGATAGGAGCAGAACAGTTCGCTGGCCAGGCCGCGTCATTGCAGTAGGTATCCATACATATCATTACGCTCTCGCCGTCTGCGCCTGAGGGACATGTCTCCCTCCCGCCTTGACAAACGCGGGGAATTAGGTATTTGCCACGCCACAGCACGAGTCGTTCTGCCTGGACTAGTAATTATGAAAGGGGATACATTGCGTGTCGTTCAATAGGGCCATGTCTACTGCTTCATCTTGTGCCTGCGTTCCCTCGCAGCCTGCACCCTCCTGATCTTCTCATCCTGCAAATCAATAGGCGACTCGGCCCTGATCACCCCCTTGGCACCCTTGAGCGCCCCATCGGGCGTCAAACTCCTCGCCACCTCCTCAACCTTACCAATTTTGCTGCTATGGTTCGTCGGGACGTACATTTCGGCCCTGGCGAGCTGTTGCCCGTCTTTGTTCTTGATCTCCTTTTGGGCCCTCGATTTCTCAGCCGCTTGCTCCGACATTTCCTTGGTCGCGGTTTGCATGTTTTTGAACGCTTCAGAGAAAGAAGGTTCTTTGATGTAACCCTTTTGACCAGGCAAAGCCTTGGGAGGCGGTGTTGGGATGTTGAAGAAGGCTCTGACGGGTTCGAGTTTGAGGATTTGGGATTGGAGCAACGAGATGGAGTTGTTCGTGCACCAGAACAACAAGAGTGCGGCGGGGAAGTAGCCGATGAAGGGGATCGAGATAACGAGCAAGAAGCGGAACGCCATCTTCATGTTCTTGGTCGTCGTCGTTTGCACCGTCGTCGTCTTGTCGACGCCTAGTTCCAAGGTTGCCAACGTCAGAGCACTGGAAGCGATCGGCAGCACCCACGTCGGATCACGCTGCATCAGGTCCTGCACCCATCCGAAACCTTCCTGTGCCATCGAGGGCAAACCGGCATTCGCCAAGCCCTTCAGAGCAAAGAACATGACCATAAAGACCGTGCCCTGCGCCAAAGGGAAGACGAGGTTCTTGATCGGGTTGACCTTGTGCCTCTTCATCAACGCCGCCGTCTCCATCTGCGCGGCTTGAGCACTAGTCATGTCGTTGCGAGCTTTGGCCTGTTTGACCTTTTCCATCCCGGCCAACATCTGGGGTTGGATGATGGCCAAACGAGCGGCGTTGGCGTTGGCGCGGACTTGGAACCAAAAGAGGAGCATGCGCAAACCGATCGTGACCGTCGGGATGAGGATGTACCATGGGAGACCGGTCGTTGGTGTGATCAAGGGGAATGATTCGTGGAGGTGGAGGAACATAGATTGGAGACGCTGGATCGGGTGGGGACCCCATGCTCCAGCCAGGGAAGTGAGATCGAGCGTTCCGGAAAAGATGTGCGAGTCGCCAGGGAGATAGAAGGTGGGCTCGGTCGCAGTCGCAGCAGCATCTGCGGATGTGTTGACGGCTTCGGCGGCGGTAGATGATGTCTGTGGTGGGGCTGTAGCCGCTGCTGAAACGGAAGGCTCCGCGGGCGTCGTTGTCGAAGGTGTCGCCGGGGACGGCGTGACGATGTCGGCGGCACCTGGTGTGGGTGCAGCCGCAGAATGCTCGGGAACGAAACCAGTGCCGTTACTCGCTGATGTCACTTCGGTGGCCGCAGGATTGCTACGCCACTGGAACGAAGGAATCCAACCTGCACTGATGGAGCTGGATGCGAATCCTCGACGAGCCGAGATGCCGGCTTTGCTCAACGGGTCCCAATTCCTTCGACCCGAGGTTACCAGTGCTCGCGTTGAGGAGGACGAGGCAGACGCGGAGAAGGATCTGTAGGAAGGGTGCGACCTCCAGTTCAGGTCAGCAAGGGCTCACAGCTGGGAAGTCGTCGTCAAGCAGGACTGAGCACGCAAGGGGAAGACGAGACATACCTGATGACGGGTCGAGCGAGGAAGAGCGAGCTCGTTGAGGCGATCGCAGAGTATGAAGCATGGGCCGAACTGTGGACGATCGAGTCAGGTGATGCGTCAGTGTCCTGTAGCGGATCGTGAGACGCAAGACGTGTGTGAGCTCGATGGGTTGCGAAGGCGCGGACCGCTCGAGGGGAGGCGTTGTAGAGCTTGTAGAGCGTCTCAGTCCACATGGGCTCATACAATGGGACGGAAGAGGACGGCGGTGCCCTCTGGTGCGCACGCGGATCGATGTAATTGGATCTTGGACCGGAGATTTTTCCCCGTACGAATCGAGCCTTGCGGAGGTAGAACGTGTGGAGATCGATGCAGTGGACTGACCTCGTATCGACCAAGAGCCTCCGTGTTGTCCTCAGGGAGGAGCTTGCTACGGACATGATGGACCTGATCCTTTATCTGAGCCGAGGGCACACGACGAGAGTCGATAAGCTCGCAGGAGAGCGCCGGGACTTGTCTCAAAAAGTGACGCGCGCTGTCGCCCGCCCCAGCAGGCCGCAGCAGGCCCAGCCTGAGGCCCAGCCTGCAGCAGAATGCTTCCTCCGGTGGGCGCGCACGTGATCGAGGCCAAGCCCGGGCGCATGTGCGGCGGTCCGAGTCCTGTGGAAAGTGGGAAAGTGGGAACTGAAGTGTCAGGCGACCCGCACTTTCCAAAAGCTACGCTCAGCAGCAGTATCAAACGAGTTCTGTGAGTTCCTCCAAGTTGAAGGGTCCGAGAGGTGGATGCGACTTTTCAACTTTCAAGCGTGTCACTGTGTCAGCCTAGCTAGCTCATGATCAGCTCAAAGGAACACCCTGAGCCTCCGCTCAGCCGTACGCCGTCCCACGTGACAAGCGGGCCCAAATCAAAGACGGCTTCGCCCGCCCGCGTTGCCGCCGCCGGACTCTAACTTTACCTCTTCTTCCCGCCCGAAGACACCTTCGATACCGTCCTACTCTACTCGCCGTCCTTTTTTCTACGCACGGCATCGATCCTGTCTACCCCGTAGAAATTCACTCGAACCGATCGCCACCGGTAGCCGCCCATCACCACGCCTTGTCACGCCTTGTCCACCTCAGAACGGGTTTCTTTCCCCCAGCGCTCTCTCGACCTCTCTTTACGCTCGGCCATGGCTCCCTGCAACTCGAACGGCAACGGATCCGCCCCGACTGCGGATGATCATACCCTAGCCAACTTGCTCACCACGGTCCGTGCTCTTCTTGGCCTCTGTATTCGGCTCCGCTGTCGCTGTCTCGCTCTCCCGTGCGGGTGTGCTGCTGCTCCAACGCGTCCCTCGGTCGGCGGTGTCCAAGGGTGCTGCTCCCTGCTGCTGCTGCACCTCGAACCCACCGGATTGCCGTGCTCCGATGTCTAGTGTACTTTGTTGGGTTCACACTCGCCCGTGATGCTGCTTCGTACGGCCTGCCACCGGGCTCCGGGGGGGGAGGGGGGCGATGGACCGCCGTCTCCATCGTCTCGCCCACCTCAGGTCACGAGATGTGTGCTGCGGCAGCGTTCTAACTTCTCGCCCTACGCCGTCCCCTCGACAACGACGCATTCGTCGGCGTGACCTCGGCCTCCTGCGCTCCCTGCAGCCATCTATATCAGCGATGACCGCCACCACAGTCGTCTAGAGCCCACTCTGTAGCTGCTACTGCTGTATGAGTCTCTCGCCAACCCACCGATTAGTTTCTCACTACCCCTGGGCGGACTGGGCCGTGTGCCCACGAGCCTGGGCGGGCTTTTTCCCACGTGACGACCCGGTTTTCGCCTCTGGCCCAGCAGCGGGACGCACGGGCGGCGACGGCGGCGACGGCGGCGACGGCCCCAAACCACTGCCGACAGCTGCCGCGGCGGCTTTCGATCGCTGCCGTTCTCGCTCAGGGGTCAGGGATTTGCCCCACCTTGGCGATAGTTCCTTTCAGGGGTACAGAGGTTGCTCGTGATAGGAGCTAGACAACTGAAAACACGTGACCTGGCCTTGACATCAACTCATACGAGCCATACACTGACCACTACTCTCTTCTCGCGTGATAGATGGCCCAACAACAACCTTTGCCCAAGAAGAGGGGATCGAACGCCGCGGGTGCACGCTCGAGCGAGTGAGTTTGGTCAGGCACCCCAGGCATCGACCGAGTATGTGCTTTCATGACTGACGGCCAACATCCGCGCGGACAGACGCGCCGCTGCTGCGCCCTCTTCGAAAAAGGGCGGCAAGAAGAACGCCGACGAAACCCCTGTCACGGCCGACAAGAATGTCGACGCCTCCGCGACGGCCAAGGGTAAAGCCGACGGCAACAAGACCAACGGAACCGGTCCTTCTACGCGCAACCTCTCTGCGAGCATCGCGTCGCAGCCACATCAACAAGCTCCCCAGCCTCCGACATGGAACGGTCGAACAGGCTCAGCCGCACAGGCTTCGACGACCATCGACCCTTCCGCTACGGTCGGTACGACGAATGCGAGCGCTAATCCTGCGGGACGCAACGAATCGCGAGCGTCTTCCGAGAACGGTTCTGATGCCGACTACTCGGAGGACAACGACGAGTCCTACACGGCGAACGCTACAGCCCCTGCGGCTACGAATGGGAAAAGCAAGGGCAAGAAGAACCAGGCCAGGGCCGCCAAGAAGGAGGCCTCCACTACTGGAGCTTCGACGGGCAATGCGAATGCTTCGACAAGTGCGGCCGGCGCGGCCGCTAATGGGAATGGAGCGGCAGCGGCGAATGGGGATGATGAGGAAGGCGGGGAGAAGCTGCATACCGAGCAGGAGTGGAACAGGACCAGGAAAGATAACCATGTTCGTCTGCTCTCTGCGTTTCTCGTTGATGCAAAGCGACTGAACACTGACCCTCATCCGAGCTGTCCACAGAAAGAAGTCGAACGCCGCCGACGCGAAACGATCAACGAAGGCATCAACGAGCTCAAGAACATCGTCCCCGGCTGCGAGAAGAATAAGGGCTCAATCCTCTCCCGCGCAGTGCAGTACATCCAACAACTCAAGGACAGGGAGGCAACACTCAAGGACAAGGAGGCGACCCTGATCGATAAATGGACCTTGGAGAAGTTGTTGTCGGATCAGACGACGAGCGATCTCAAGAGGGAGGTGGAGAAGCTGAGGGAGGAGTTGAGCATCGCAAGGATGCAGAATGGGAAGAGGGGTGAGGTCGATGGGGGTGGTCAACATGGTGGAAGTGAGCCCAAGAGGTCGAGGTTGGAAGGCCGATGAGGCAAGAGACATCGCTCGGCACAGAAGCCTTTAAAACACACATGTCTCGGCCAATTTTTGATTCCCACCTATCCACATCATCGTAGTGTATCCCTTGTTCCCCCAAGCTTCCGGATCTCCTCGCTTCTCTCTCATCCTCTCGCCCGGAGAAGTATCACAATTACCACGCCCTTCTAACCCTCGCCCACCCTACCCAAACCGACCAAAACCTGCTTTCTCACTCTACTCTCTCCTCTAGACATCCTTGTGTTGTTTCATTTGTTGTGATGAGACTATTCATGTTACTCCTTCCCGTTCCTGTGTCTCACTGCACGAACTGGTTCGCTACGAACTTCCCCCACACCGGGTCCAGATCCAACACGTCCCACGTACTCTTCTGTAGGGCCAGAGCAAGCTCCAACCCTCTTCCTTCGATCCCAGGAGAAACGGGCAGCAGATACCCCAATCCATCCACGAGCGATGTTTCCGTGAAAGGCGTCATCACCCGACTTGGACCAACCCCACCTCTCTCGAACCCGAATTCATGGGGGTTATAGACGTCGAACTTCCCCCAATGGCTCAGCATCAGGGTCCCTCCTGGACGGTATTCAAATTCATCGCGAATGAGGAGCTTGTTGGGCTGTAGAGCAATCCAGGACAGGGTTCGGAGGGTGGATCTGATGAAGGAGGTGTTCAGAGTCGTATCGGTCAGGGAATGAATTTGTCGGGCTAGCTCGGAAAGCGAGTTCGGGGTGGCGAGAAGGAGAAGGTCCAAGTCGGTGTACCCGGATTGGAGGGCGTTGCCAAAATATCGAGGTGGGAGAAGGGCTTCTCCGAGCCTTGATCTCAAGTTGAGAGGTGTCAGGAAGTTCGGTAGGGGTGCTGTCGAGGGGTTGTCTTCTGCTCGCCGCTGACTGGCGGAGGTTCGTGAGAGGTAGACTCGTTGAAGTAGGTGGGCGGATAGGGCATCAAAGGTCGATATCCAGGATTTCGACGTCGGGTCGGTAGCTGTTGCCTTGATCTTTAAGAGTAAAGTCGCAGTGAAATGAATGAATCGTCCTACCACGGGGTCAGATGTTTCATCGGGAGCTTCGTCGGAATTGTCGGAATTGTCGTTCTTTGGGCTTGTCGGCTCGGTCTCGGCGGACGTAGGCTGATCGATGTGGTACTTCTCGGGCTTGAAGTCCAATAACATCTTCCTCTCGTCCTTTTCAAAGGAGCCCAGGCTACTCATGAAGGACTCGATGCACGGCCCTCTCTCAAACTCCTCCCCACGCTCCCGATAAACCCTCGCGAAATCTTGCACAAATTGGATCGATCCTTGAGCATCGCACAAGGTATGAAGCCATCGAAAGCCCAACGAGACTCCACCACATGCGAAAGTGGTATGTTGGATCGTCAAGACGGCGTGGTTGCAGACGTATCCGAGCGTAGGCTGGAAAGGGGCGAACAAAGTTTTCGAGATGGTTCTCGAAGGGTCGCGGGCGGAAGTCCCGGGCGGATGTTTTACGATCCATTCGTCGAGGAGTTCGGAGCAGTTGGCTTCGAGTAGATTGGCACCCTTGTTCAAGTCGGTGATACTTCGCACGCCGGTTTGAGGATGGAGTTCGAGTCGACCGGTCAAGTGAGGATACGAAGCCAAGACGATCGACAGGGCTTGCTTGATGCGTTGTAGAGGCATGAAGGATGAGGACGCATGATGTGCCGGTTTGGTGTATACGAACAGGATAGCGATGGGTATGGTAGGTGTGACGAGCGAGTCTAGAGGGCCGAGGAGGAATGATGAGGAACGGGGGGGTTGACTCGGCGCCGAGTCGGCGTACCGTATATTGTGGGAGTGTAAGAGCTGTACGGACATTATCGCCTAGAACTGGGTAGTCATCTGAGAAGAGGCGCGAGGCGACCAGTGAACCAGAGAGGAGACAGAGAGCGTGCCAAAATGAAAATCGAGTCCAGGGGCATGCCAAACAGTGACGTCGCACTCGCGCTCGTGCCTCTCTTTCCTCCGCCCCACACACACTACCGCGACGTCATGACGTCCGCAGCCTCGACCTCGTCGGCCTCAGCCAATGATCTGAGCCGCTGCTCCGATCTCGTGCGATACCATCTCAGCAGGTTAGTCTCCCGTCCTTGCCAGAGCTCGGAGAGCAGCTGCCACGTCGACCCCCACATGCAGTCAGGAAGGGCGTTCTGGAACTGACTCCAGCTACATCGTATATTCGACGCAGCAACGAAGCTGATGCATCGCAAGAGCTCTTCATCCTCAAGGACGAGCATGACCGTCGTCTCTTCACCAAGGTCAGCACTCGACCTGGCACCGCGCACCGCCTCACGCTCGAAGGACGTGTCGTGACGTGTTCGACCGCGCAATTCGGGCTCAGCTGACGTCCGATTTCGCCGGGGTCGTTGCGTGACTTGTTCTTCAGACGCGGAAATTGACAGAGACTGAGATCGTCGATACCGTATTCGTAAGCCTGGTTCATACCTCAGCCTTCGTTTCCCGCACTGAATTTACCTGTTCCTTGTGCAGAATTCTTCCCATGAACCCGCCTGGACGATCCACCGACCCCGAAGAGGGTGGTACCTCGTCATACGACCTCTCAAACCCGAACAACTCGGTCAGAAGGCGGCGGAAGATTCTTTCGTTCAGCTTTTGGCTGTCAAGGGGAAGAGAGGTAAGGAAGGCGAATTGCAGTTCGAATTGGAAGTTGGGAGTAAGATTGGGGAAGAGATTGATTTGCGGCCGGCGGAAGAGTCGGGTGCGGAAGGGGGGACGAGCGTCAGTGTCGCTATGGATTTGAACGACCCGAGTGATCTGGACAAATCCTCAGGTACCCCATCGACGCCGGCGGCTACGGCCACACAAGCTACCGTCTCGACCAACGCCGAAGAAGGACCCTCGACTCGAACTGTCAAGTTCACTCTCCAACCTCGACTGCCTCATCATTCGCAAAGGGTGACATCCCAAACGACAAGTCGATGGACACCAGGCCATATACTGAGACGGGTCGTCGCGGGAAAGGAGAACGACTGGAGCTGTGTCGTTGACCCAGATGGGGACGAGATAATGCGGTTCGAGGAAGAGATCACGTAAGTCTGTTTACTCAAGCTGCGATCCTCGTGGTACGGTGTCTTAGAGCTGAATCTCACACCCCTTTTCGATCCTCCAGCCTCTCAAGCTCCTCAACAAAAGGCTTAATCCTCGTTGACCGAGAGCGGACCAAAACACTGGACATCAACCCCGACTGTCTCGTTACGATCGCCTTGGCCTACCTCGAACATCTCCAGGACTTGGAAGCGTACCAAGCCGCAGGGAGTGGTGATTGAAGATCTTCATTAACCTCCATTGCATATAGCAGTAGTACGATTTATGTCTGTCGCACTGGAAATGTATGTACATTCACCATAGCTATAGCGAACTTGCTGGAGTCATCCAAGGTCGTTTCCCCCTCACCTCACTCGCATCTAAAGCGAGTTCAACAGGGTTTTTGGCTGTTATAACCACACGTCCTACCTCATCTTCATTCGCAATGTTGTATCGTGCTCGCTCGACTGGGAAGCTCTCGCCAGCGAGCCGAAGTGCTTTGCGTTTGGCGTACACCTCCGAGATCGCTTGGGTCAGGATCACTTTGCCGTCTCGGATCTGTCGAATAAGGGCGCGAGTCAGAACAATATCAATGTTGTGGCATACTCGGGTACAGCTTACGTTCTGCGTCGCCGTCTTGACGATGTCCAGCACGTTGTTCGCCGTCCAAATGAGATTGTACGAGCTTGAAAAAGGTGCGGTCGAGGGGTCGTACTCAGGGTTGCACACATTGGGCAACAAAGGGATGTAAACGAGGGTCACGTCTCGCCAAGCTTGCGGTTGATGCTTCTCGTTGTAGGTGACGCCTTCTCTGCCTAAGATTCGGAGTGAGTAATTTAGTGATTGGATTGCGATATGAAGGCGGAAAAGGGACGACTGCGCACCTTCGACGACATGCAAAGCTTTGCCGTCCAAGATTTGAGCACTACGCGGAATGACCTTCGGCTTCAGCTTCCATCATTCTGGGTCCCAAGGCCTGAGTGGCAAACACTCACTATCTCCCTTCAAACTTGAATCGGATTTCGTCGACACTGAGCGGCAAGACCTTGCCCGCCTTGTCCATCTTCGGTGGCGTTAGGGGGGGCAGTCTTTGCCGCGGTGTGAATTCGAGTCCCTTTGTTGCTCCATATTTGTTGATCCGTGCCAGTGCGGAGCCTTTCTGGACGTCTGAAGAGGCATCAAATCTATAGACCCGAGTGTGGATGATCAGTCAGTGGACTGCCTCCTGGCCTGCGTAGTCCTGCGCACTGACAGGATAATGAGATCTACATCCCTTGCAGGATGCAAGAACACATGCGTCGGGCAGTTATTGCTCATCCCACTATCGACGAGATGAAGCCGCGGAGAATGCTCGAACCCATTCCCTCTGCCGGGGCGTTTAGGAGCGTCGAAGAATGGGTTGGCTTCGTTGCTCGCGTGAATGGGGTTAATGTTGTCGAGTTTGTCCATCGTTGAGTCACCCATTCGGCGTGAGAGGGACAGTAGTGTATCTGTAGCGGTACTATGATCAGCGAGGACAACCAAGAATTCTGCTGCACGAGAAACTCACGTCTCAACGCCGAACCAAATACGTTCCGTGGCAGCTTGGTCCACAGCATCTCGAGAAAACTCGACAGGGGCGCAGCAGGCGCTGCAGTTGCCGATCCGAGCAGGAGTGCCAGCGAATGTTCAGGTAGGTTCTGCACCGACGAGCCTTTCTCAAATCTGTGGTTGGGGAGGTGGATTCGGTCTCTGACTTAAGTTGAACCCCTATCAGACGGATGCATATCGAACTCACTTGCGCCCAAAACCTGTACAGTGTTGAAGGTCGGAGTGAGTGAGATATTGTCTATGATATGACGTTATATAAGACGGTTGACTCACTCCATGTCGGTACCCAGCCTTGCAGCTCATCGCATCCAATCACGACGGGGTTCATCTCAAACCATTGCCACCACGCATCGCGTTTCTCGTGTTCCGCGCTGTGCATGAGTGGACGCACTGATCATCTTTCTGAGAATCTCAATTACCCAGCGCGCCCAAGGGAGCTTACATCTCTTCGTCAATCGTATGGGGCGACACGTTCGGATCCTTCCATGACCGCCACGGCCGTTCGTGTCTGCAGGCGGTGAGCTGTTCCAGGACGGCCCATTCTTAAGCCATCGAGCAGCGTTCCAGATGGGAGCCTACATGTGCGTGACTGACGATGGGGAAGGGCTCGCACCCTTTAGCCAGGCCCGCATTATCGTACGCGCGCGACCATTTCATCGAGGCGCTGACAATCAGACAGGAAGATTCGAAACAGTCAGTGAACTGACCCTCTCTGGACCTCACGAGCCGACGCCGGGGTACCCACGGATCAATCTGATTCTTCCCATCTTTTCTGGGCATCATCCAGAAGTACGATGAGACCAGTGTCGAGTACAGATCAATCGCTGTCAAGCCCCACAGTGTAGCGATCGTCGTTAGTGCCGGTATTTCTTCAAGTGAGGGTCAGTGGGCTGTACTCACTACAGATCTTTTGACCGTTCTTGGACTTTGAAATCAAAGGTCCGAAAAGCGATTGGTACCCTCCGAGTGCCTCCCTGATTCGGTTGACCGATTTCGTACTCAGAGGGTGATCCCCTGATACGAACATAAAGTGCTCAATCACCGCGGCGGCGTTGAGTGGTGGCGTGAGCGGACGTGCGATCGGTAGCGTATATAAGCTCGCCAGAGCCCAACAGGACCCGGATACCCCCGCTGTGTAGGACACCAACGGCCATAGATCGAGCTCTTGAAAGGCGAGGACCGTCGAAAGGAAGCCGAGGTTGGCACGCATTCCGCCTCCCGACCCTCCTAGCCCGATCTGATACTTTCAATGCTCGTCAGCTCCACGGTTCATCCTTATTGCTCCAGTGTGCACTGACTCACTATTGGGACGTCTCGCACATCGATCTCTTCCCCTTCCTCCAACACCAAAAGCTCGACCAAGCTCTGACTCTGTGCGATCTTCCTCTTTCGCTCCCTCAGAAAAGTCATTTCCTCAGCCGACAGACAGTTGTCCCTTCGAAGATGAGCCGTTTCGTTCCTATGAGGCGAGAGCGAAGGGTCGTGCTCAATGTCGGATTGGAGCATTCGTTTGGCTCCACGCGAACTTTTTCTAGGTCCTGTGAGATCTGAGAGGACACAGGAGATCTGGTCAGTATCGGCGGGATTCTTTACTACCAGATGATCTCGCGCATAGTTCGACGGACTGTAACCCATGCCCTCGATAGGGAACGATACTAAGCTACTGTCTCATAATAACTTTGCGCCGGTCAACTTACCGCCTTTCTCTGCAGGCAGCAAGCCCCCTTTCTCTTCGAACGACAAGCTCGCCTCTCGTTCTTCGCTTCCACGACCTTCATCCATCATCTTGACCTCGCACGTCTCTGCCTCCCTCGTCCCATCCTTCTTCTTCTTCCCTCTAGAATAATTCCCTTTGCACACCCAGAAAGCCCAGACCAACCAAAACCTTGACCTGAGGCGTTTGCACACCGAGAGCCCGTGCGGAGTCTGTTCGAGCTCCGTCAAAGTTGGGCCCGTGCTACTAGTACTGCCGCCAAGTGATATGGTAGGGATCCATGTAGTGGGTGTTTCGAGGGGAGGTAAGAGATGTGAAGCTTTGAGAGGCTTGCGATGTTGGTGTGGGTGGAGGGAAGGCTGAGCATGAGTGGACTTCTATCCGAAGGAGTCATCGTAGTCGCCGTTAGCCACAGCCGACAGGCCCGTGTGGGGAGAGGGACATCGCACGTGCGCGACCGAGACCCCCACATTCGCACCGGGCAGGCTGGCGACTCTGGACAGCCGATGCCGGACTCACAGGGGTACACCGACCACGAAAGCCGCGGATACCCATTTCAAGTCGCTGACGTCCACGTTGTCGGTCCAGGCTACCACCTACTTGCTCCAGCGTGTTACACGACTCGCCGACCCGGTTTTGATCCCGCCCAGCGCACGCCAACGACTTGCAATTGAAAGTTCGTGCGAGCCACTGGATGAAGGTGCCTTATCTTTGCGTTGCCCTGCAGAGCAACAGATGAAACAACCCTGATAGTCAGATGATCACATCGAGACAATCGTGGGTGCAGAGTATTGAGGCATACTTGTGGTTTACGCTGAGGCTGCGAACGAGCCGATGCCCAAGCAAGGCACCAGCAGGGCGTCCAAGACACCGCGTCGGCCGTGGCAGATTGTGCTGACTAAGCAAGACGATTTTACACATCCGCACACGCACTTCAAGGACTGCGTCGTTTACTACATTTGATATTTGAAACTCGCAAAATCCGTATCGCCCAATTCCCTCATCGAGCTGAGCAGGTTCTGTGTCCGGGGTTTGATACTGTCCCGTCGATGAAGACTATTTTGGAGCCTCAGCTTGGGTGTAGTCGTGGAGGAATAGAAATGTCTTAGTTGACTCAGTGCCGAATGACTCTTGGGTGATAGGGTTCTTCGGGGAGTTCACTTGCCCCGGCTGCGCATTTTTTCAGCGATTGTTGCACCTGGGTTTCGAAGCACGACGACCTTGGAGTTGGGTAATCTCCGATAAGTGATAAGTGAAGAGTAAATAAGAATACAACATCGAGCGAAAACCAATCACCGAGAAGTCCCTTCAACGGAGCTCAAAAAATCAAGGAAACGCCCAATAACCTCTCCATCATGCCCGCTACTCGTCCCTCCCAAACCCATTCCCCAACGCGACCCACCCTTTCCTCTCCTCCATCTCCTCGTGCGCTCTCACATCCTCCAATCTTCTCGTCTGGTCCCCCTTGATGAATAATATGAGGAAAGAGGTGACAAAGACGACGATGCCTTCGAAGACGATGGCCTTTGGGTCGTAGAGGAAGGGGAGGGGTGTTAGCTCGGACTTCATGGTGATCGCATTGGGTGGTGTGTTACGGACGTACCCTGCGCATGTTGTTGGGAGGACTGGCGTTCGGACCAGAGGTGAGGGCGTTCATCGCTACCGAAGCTACGACGGAAGCACCTTAATCCAGCAGAAGAGCCCATGTCGTTAGTCTCACTGCTCCTTCAAACACTCAACGCCCTCATATCTTCAGAACTCACCATTCCCTAACCAATACAACACCGCCGAAGTGATCTCGATCCCCATATTTGGGTACCCAATTTCCGCTGCCATCTCCAAGCCGATCGGCAACATCGTGAAGGAACTACAGCCCATGAGGATGGTGATGACAAAGATTGGGGCCAGGTTGGAGGGCTTTATGATCCAGATCAGCAAGAGGAAAGAGAGACCGATTATGGGCACGAGGAATTTGGCGGTTAGGGCAAGACGGAAGTGAAAGTAGCGACTGTGGGGCAAGAGTGAGAGTCAGAGAGGGTGAGGTGTGCTCAACACGACGAGAGATGAGTAAAGCTTACTCCAGCAAAGGGGCCGAAACCCCCGCCGCCAAGATACCCGAAAAGATGACGGCTGCGCCAATGAAGCCCGCCTGATCCGATGAGTAGCCATAAGGTTCAAAGATCTGGTTGATGAGGATGAGAAACGCGTCGAAAAAGGCCAAAATGACGGTGAAGACCTGTCGCAGAGGTCGCATGAATCTGGTCAGTCGTCACTCTTGATGTTGGATACTAGCACACTGAAGACTCACAATACTAATGATGGCGAAATCGCACCTCTCCCTCCTCGTCATACACCTCCCCTCTTGGTCCCCCTTGCCGAACAACGCCCTGACCCCTCTCCACACCTCCGCAGTCGACATCAACCTCCCTTCCGCGCTCTTCGTAGGCGGCGTAGGTGGTCGAGCTTGAACGAGGAACGCAAACGGTGCGCAAACGGTGACGATGATGGCTGCGATGAGGCAGAGGAGAGGGAGGTGTGATGGGTTCGTGACGACGCCTGGAGCGAGGAGGGAGGCGATGGCTCCTCCGAATGGGTTTGAAACGGCTCTACGGCCAGTGTGAAGGTTTATTCATCAGGGCGAGGGATTGGTTCCCCAGAAAGGAATGTTATCAACGCCCACTCACAGGATCATCGTCACGGTCGTCCTCGCGTTCAGACCGAACCAAGTCTCTGAGAAAGCCGGAGGGATCACTTGGACGAAACATTGCGCTACGCCGATGAGGAACGAGCCAATGAAGAGCAGGGTATACGCTCCGTCTGGGGAGAGCGTCGAAGCGGTTGCGGCGTAGCGGAGCCTGTGGTTGGTAAGACAGAGATTGAGTGTGATGCCCGAATGATGATTAGATGAGTGAGGACGTACCAACCACCAAGAAGCATGAGAGCCGCGGCAATCAAGGTGACGCCGCGGATCGAATAGCGCATCGTAAGCCAGGGAACGCAAGGAGCAGCGAAGACGTACTGTGGGCAGCGAGATGTTCAGTTCTCCCAATCTCGGTGCGCGATAGCGATGAAGATACTTTACTTACTGCTCCACAAACGATGTTTGATAGCCAATTGACCTTGGTCGTACTGACGGCAAAGTGCGCGGCCGTGTCGATTGAAACTGAGGGCAAATTTTCGTGTCAGATCATAGTCAAGCGTGTTCCCCTCTCGTCTCGGCCAGTGCTTACTCGATGTGAACAAGGTCCAATTGACTGTGAAAATCCGACGATCAGCGATTCTGACCCCCTAAACTATGACATTCGTCTCCTTTCGCGACTCGAAGAGGAGCTGGCTGTCTGAAACTCACTCGCACAAACGATATTGATCAACGTCAACGCGACCAGACCATACCACCGCTGGCGATAAACCCTATAGCCGACCAACGACAACGCCGAGAACACTTGTACTTCAGCCTTGGTCTCGTCCTCGGTGGGGTTCTCTTTCGGGATAGGGGATGTCCATGTCGCTGAGGAAGGTGATGCAGTCGGTTCGGTAGGAGAGCGTGGGTTCACTGCCCGCTCGCCGAGAGGGAGATTCACCGTTGGTGGAGCCCCGTGCGCAGGGGCCGCCCGAGTTGACGTGGAGTTCTTCGCAGCAATCGTGCCTGCCAAGCCGGGTGCTGTCGAGCTCATCGCTCAGCTGTAGTGCTCCGATCCACAGGAGGATGGTCGGTGCAGCTTTTGGTGATGCTCCACTGCGTCGAAGAGCGAAGTGAACCCGGTCGTACTCAGAGACGAGACGCGACCGAATCACAAGATCGACCTTGAATGGACTCGAAACTGAAGAAGCTCCTTCCGCAGTAGGCTAAATAATTAGTTTCGAAGCAGCACGGGGGGCCGGCGGGGCACAAGACTGCAGCCGATCGACTCGGAGAGGCGAAGATGCGAACGGCGGAGGCTGACGGGATGAGCGTGAGGGATCAAGGGCAGACGAGCATTCAGGTCGAGCTCGATTCGAACTGAGCACTAAAAAGGGAGCACACCCCACGCACACTACTCTGCAGGAGCGACCACTGGAAGATCAACCGAGATCATCCGGTCATGGCCGCCCCGCGCGCCGCGTGTCCGACGACGACACCCACAGACGACGGTTGGTGACGCGGTGACGCGCGTGCTCTCCGTGGGTTGAACCGGAAGCAAGCTCGGCAGCGAGTGAGCTCTGCCCCGGCCAGGAGACTCGATGGTGTGGGTTCTCAGGCTGTTCAGCGTACGATGTGGGGTGGTCCTGCTTACTCATTGGAGGAGCATGCTCATGTCGAGTTGGTAATATCTCTCCCGTAATAGCACTCCCTGACCGCGCTATGGCCAGCAGACGGACGGGCGTCGAGTCGCGTTGTCGATGAGCATCAAACGAGCGCAGAGTCAGTCTCACGAGTCTTTCCTCCGTCTCGACCGCCCAGCCATCACCAACGTATAGTTATACATGACGTCAAGTGATCCTCATTGCATGCTTCTCCCTCTTCGTCCTCATTCCCCATCCGAGCCGAAACCAACGAAAAAAGCTCAAACCCTTCTCCGATCGGTCATGACCCTGACGATACACCCCGTTCCCGCGACTTCAACGAGCTGTATCGTAAAGATCAAACCAGAGCAAAGCTAGTACCACATGGCAGAGAGGTCCGAATTCTGCCGGTTTCGTACCTTTTCGTGCCAGCCCAGTACGACGTTCCCACTGGTCTCGCCCAAGTTCTCCATCGCCTTGTAGAGGTACTTCATCAAAGTGACCTGTAGGATTCAGAATGAGAAAAACAGGGAGCGTGAAGCAGCTTTTCAAGTCGGCGGGCTCGTATCAAGGTACGAAGCTCACCTTCTCGTTCGGGTCGAGGGCTTGGATCAGTTGAGGGATGTCGGTCGAGCGGGTCGAGTTGAGGATCGAGAGTACGGATTGTAATGCGATGGCCTGGAGGGTGGAAGAGATTGCACGTCAGATTGGAAGAGCGGTGAGCGCGCGTCTGGGTGAGGCTGTGTGGGGGGTGCGGACGTGAGAGCGGGCAAGAGCGGGCAAGAGCGCGTTGTAGCAGCCATCGAGCACGAGCACGTGCACGTGCATCTGCATATTGCATATTGCATATGTTTGTGTACCGACACAAAAAACCCCTCCCAAAACAATGCACCACCCCGCGCCCGACTCACCTTGGCCTGCTGCACCCCTTCCCCGTAAGGCGCCTGGTCCAGCACCTCGTGCAACGCGGTAACCACGTCCCCCCGTTGCAGATGAGCCCTCGTATTGCTCGCCTTGGTCTGTGTATCGCTGAGGACTTGCTGCACCGGTCGTGGGTCGGGTGTGTAGAGTTCGTGTTCGAGCACTCGGTCCGGGTCGTATTGGTCCACGTCGAGGCGGCGGAAATTGTCGAGGGAGGAACTCATGCTGGGAACGCGGGTGGGTCTTGCGGGTGGGTCTTGCGGGTGGGTTGTAGGGTGTGGAGGGTGTGATGCGTGATGTAGTCCGAGGTGGGTTGGAGAGAGGAGAGGTGGAGGAGTGAGAAGAGGCAACTGAGAGGCGCGCGCTCGATTCTGTCTTTGAACAAGACTAGCTGGAATTTATGACTTGAAACTTGAAACTCGGCCAGAATGACAGACAATGACGACGACGTGCGACGACGTGCGACGGCGTGCGAGCGCTGCCAGCCGAACACGCCCTCTTCCTCCCTGTTCACGCGCGTTCACGCTCTCCCGAGTCCCCACGCTCTGCCCTCACTCTGCCCTCACTCTGCCCTCTCACTCTGCCCTCACTCTCTCCCACCGACTTGCCACGCCAGCACACGCAAGCATGACCACCTCCGCCACCCCTCTTACGCTCCCCTCCCTCCTCTCAGATCTGCACCACCTGTCGTCCAAGCCGAGCCTACTCCCCTCCCTCGACCCCGACACCGCGCACAGCTCGCCTCCGTCCCAAGACCCCTCCGCCCTCGCCGTCAGCGTAGCGGATTCGTTTCTGCTCGACAGCCAGCGCGTCTTGCACAAGTTGGATTCGGAGCAGGTGCAGGAGCTGGGCCAGGCAATCGAGCGGCTAGAGAAGAGGGTCGAGAGCATCGGCCGGGCGTTGCGCTGAGCGAGTGAGTGGTCGTGGCGTTTAGGTGTCGGGCGTCCGAATCGGACTACCACAACCGCCGAGGTGCGATCGACAAGGAACGATCTTTAACAATGGACACATGTACTACCACGGATGGCCCTCAATTCGGACCCGGCCACGTCCCAACTCGGCTTCCCGTCGACCGACCGACGTGGCACACCGTCTCGGCACAAGTCCACTCAGCAATCTACAAGTCAAGCCTCGAATCACGTCCTAGCCTCCTCAGCATCAAGCGTGAGCGTCTACAACTCCGCACATCCCCACCTTGTCGGGCAGCTGACCTGAGATTCGATCCCGACCACCAGACTCTTTCGGCCCGAGCCGCGTCTCGACGCCTTGAAAACTTGGACCAGGCGAGATGGTCCATGCTCTCCGCGAGTCAGGATAGTGATAGTGATCGATGATGCAATCAAAAAACACGGTCGACAATTACAGATACTCTAAAGAGAGGCCGCCACAAGGAATTTACTCATCCTCCACCTCAATCCCCTCGGCCCGCGCCGCTTGGTCCACCATCTCCCTCGTCCTCTCCCTCACCTTCCTCTGCAACCTCATCCAACCGCCTAAAGGCGTCTTCTCCTTCTCGAACCCCAACAAGAATCTCTCCACCTTGTCCCTCTGCATCGGCGCAAACTCGATCTTTTCCCTCTCCCCTTCGATCCACTTGGCATTCATCTCCGTCTTGTCGACCAAGACCTTGATCAACGTCCCTAATTTGGCTTGCCGCGTCTTTTTAGCGTGCCTCTTGAGCGTGACGATGCAAGGTAGACTCCATTCGGGGAACGCGATCGAGGTCGACCACGCCGTGAGGTACTCTCCTAAGAGATGTACGACCTCATCCGCCAACCCATCGGCGTACACCCTCGTCTTGGGGTATTTCGAAGGCGCCTTGAGGTACAACTCGAAATCCAACGGTTTCAAAGTAGATCGCTTCAAGGCCCTGGCCGCCAGACCTGTTGGGGACGTTCCTCCCAACTCGGGGGAATCGAGGACTTCGAAGAGGCTCGTCGCGAGCGGGATGTAGACTCCCGTTTTTTGGACGATGCGCAGGAGGGATCGGATGAGGTGGAAGCGTAGGGGGAAGTAACGCGAGGTAGGCACGAGGCGGATCGCGCCTTGACCGACTTGGATCAACGGGTACAACAGTTGGCGTAAGGGCGACTCGTGGGTTTGGGAACTCGTGCGTTCGAGGTCGCACGCTGAACTGAGCACGATCGACCAAAAGTCAAAGGCGTGTACGAACTGCCAGTTGTAGACCGATTTGAACGAGTCCTGGATCGAAACGTGTCAGATTAGCACAGCTTTCCTCCGAGAATGGTGAGAGTATTCGGCCCACCTTGGACCCCTCCTTGACGGCCTTCCTCAACAACATGGCCAACATCCTCACGTACCCAAACGTCAACTGGTACACCAACTCCTGCTCCTGTTTCCCCTCGATCAAGAACAACTGACTCGCCGCGTTCTTCATCAGGTTCAGACTCGGCAACGAATGCACGTTCGTCGTCTTTGACGAGCTCAAAAAGGTCGCGTAGACGCCTTTGAGAACGGATTCACGCAGACTGTGGTCGGAAGCGATGGCAAGTTTACGAAGGCCGAGGAAAGCTGCGACGCGCACTTCGTCGGTCGAGGATTCGTACAACGAGAGCAAGAGCTTGACCCATGCTCGAGCGATCTTGCGATTGCCTACGATATAGGGCACCAGCTTGGACGACTCGTTCACCGCGACCGAAGGGATCCCCGAAGAAGTCGACACGCTGCCCAAGAGGGCTTGCAAGGAAACAAAGTAGGACTTGATCAGTCGTTGGGCCGACGCATAGGCTTTCGTGTTGGTCGCGAGCTTGTATTTGCCGTCCTTTTCCTTGTACGGCACGGCAGAGGATAGAGTCACCGGGGTGAATTTGAGCGAGGCGATGATGAGATTGTGGAACACTTTGGGCGATTGGATCTCCCAGCGTGCACCTTGGAGTGAGGTCTGGTGCGATCCGGTCGTTGCGGCGGATCGGAAGGCGAGCAAGAGTTTCTTGAGCGAGCGGATCGAGCGGGTCTGGGGAGGGAGAAACGTGATCAGTCCAGGGTTCGGACGCCTCGGGCTGACAAGACTGACCTGCAGGATGGATTTCTGCCATTTCCTGAGAATTTCGGGCGTCAATACGGGTGCTGGCTTCTCCTTCCTTTCGACTTTTTTGCCTCGACTGTTGGTGTCTTGCTCATCCTCATCGTCGTCGTCCTCATCGTGTTCTTCTTGGTCATCGTCGTCCTGCTCATCCTCGTCCTCGTTGAACTGGAGCAATTCAGCGTCGTTCTCCTGCAAGTACTTGAAAAAATCGGGGTCCTTCTCGGCCAAAGCCTTGAGATCGGCGACGTGGGATCGTTTGCCCGAGCCTGAAGCGGTCTCGTTGTCGGAATCGGAGCCGAGATTGGACAAGTCGTCGTCCTCGAGCGCGAGATCGTCGTCGTCGTCGTCGCCGTCGCCGCTCTGTGGGGGGATAATGGTTTCAGTTTGGGCAAAAGACACCGAATCGCATCTGCTGTGACGGACCTGATCATCGTTCTGGAACCCATCGGCGCCCAAGACGTCCTCGACGTCGATCTCATCCTCGTCCTCGTCCTCGTCCTCGTCCTCGTCCTCGTCCTCGCTCTCTTTGGCTCGGTTACCCGCCTCTTCATCCAAACTGTCCTCTCCGTCGTCGTTGTCCTCGTCAGCTGGCTTTGCATCATCAGCCCTCCTGTTCCTCTTGACCTGCCTCCCCTTCACTTTTTGTTTGAACGCCTTGACCTCGTGCCGTTTCTTGATCTGGCCGGACAAGAGCCCTTTTTTGAGGAACGCTTTGGTCTGCTTGCCTTTGGAGACTTTGCCCATCTTGAGCCGAGTGGACGCGGATGAATCAAGGAAGGCCGAGTGGGATGGGCTGGAGGAAGGGAGAGCGGAGGAGGAGGGGAGCCTAGGGGAGCCGAGTCTGAGGCCCGAGCTCGGACGCTTCGCAGCCGGCAAGGCGAGGAGAGGTGAGGCAAGGCGCTTCGACTAATAGCTTTAGGGCTATCGATTAAGGGTGTTGGGGCTCTTTAATAGGGCTCCTTAGGGAGCTTTAGCGCCTCTCCGCCTCTCCGCCTCTCCGCCAGCCTCCGCCTTCCTCCGCGCTTCGCAGCGACCGGCTTCAGCTTCCACTCGCGCCTCGAGCCGGACTCATTCGCTCCCTCTCCAGCATCGCACCCCCCCTGTTCACCTCACCATGGCGTCCTCGGTGGCTTCGACGTCCAAGAAGCGCAAGTCGAGTACAGGACAAGCGATCGCGGTCGCTTACCACCGTCCTGAACGGGGCCAAGTCGCTCCCATTCTAGGTCAGTTTCCGAGCAGCGCACTGTCTGAAACCCCCCCTCCTCGTGGTGGACGGGCTGGCTCACGCCCATGTCGATCACCCAACCCAGGCATGTTCCCCTCGACTCGACCGTCGTCCTCCACCCCCTTTGACCTCTACACGCCGGACGGTCAACCGCCTTCGCTCAGCTCAGCTCACCTCGTCGTCGCCGAGACGGACGCGATCGAATTCGAGTCGACCACACGGCACCAAGCCCAGGTGCGCCTACTCGACGCCTCCGAGGAAGCCGCCTCCTATTCCCAGTCGCGCTTGGCCGAACCCGATTCCGCGCAATACCTCATCGGCATCCACGACCCTCTCACCAACTCTCTCGTCCTCCACCCGGCCCCCTTGCACATCTTTCACCCCACCATAAAGTCCCTCAAACCGCTCCCCCATGACCCTTCCCATCCCTCCGCGTCGTCCCTCTTCTCCGCGCAACGTGCAGCGTTGGGAGCCACGTTCGGCACCAAGAAGGCACAGCGTCAACTCAACGCCCAAGAGAGGAACAAGCTCTCCGAATCGAGCTACGGCGACTCGGTCCGCTCCAAGCACCTCCAATCCCATCTGCAGCAAACGATCGTCCACAACTCGGCGAGTCTACCCGATCGTGCACAGATCGAATTGAAGGCGAATGTCGAGAGAGCGACCATTCCGAGGTTGTATTTGCACGCGGCCAAGGTCGACGATGTCTATCCACTCGACGGGATCGTCTCCAAGAACGAATTGGCTTCCATCGGGATCGAGAGCTTTGTCGACGCTCTGCCCCCCATCGAAGAAGAACCTGTCGAAGAGGAGGAGGAAGACCCATCGCCGGAAACACCCAACAGTGCAAACCCTCGCCGACGGACCACCCACTCCAAACGCTCGGATCCCCTCAAAACCCGTCTCTCGTTCCTTCCCTTTCGCAAAAGTCGCTTCGTCAACGATCGCGTTCGCCGCCTCCTCTCCTCCCACTCCGAAGACGTCGCCTCGTCAATCCGACTCGGAAAAAAAGACAAGGAGAAACTGCGTCTCTTGGTCTATCTTTCGATCCTCTTGCAATTCCGTCAAACGACTCAATTCGGAGGCACGGCTTCTCTCGCCCGGCCTAAACTTACCGAACGTCTAGGTCCTCTCTTCTCTTCGCCCATCATCATCGATGGTCTGTTGGAAAAATTCACCGAATCGCATCGCGGTGGTTTGGGCGGCGGTGCGGAACAGGTCAAGATGACGAGTACGATGGAGACCAAGCTCTTGTCGTTCGTGTTGGTCTTGTGCCTCAGAGTTGATAGTTATGCGACCGATGTCGGCACGATCGCGCACGATCTGGGCACCGGCGCAAAGAGGTAGGCACACCTCGCATAAGCTTGGCTCTTCCTACAATCAACTGACACGCTCCCCTCTTCACTCAGGGTTGGCGAGGTTTTCCGTTCCCTCGGCTGTCAACTCCTTACCCCTTCCCCTGCCGAAAGGGAACGTCTCCTCGCCGCCAAAATCGTCAAGACCAGTTCCGAAGCGAGGAGTAGGAAACAGGCCGTGTTGAGGATCCCGCTCGAGTTCCCGCAGGATAAGAGGACCGTGAACAAGCAATGATGACGGCGAAGGGGGGAAGGGAGGTATGCTTTGACAGTGCAGCTTTGGTTTTACATAATGCAGGACATCTGCTTCTCTTGGAGGGTCGCTGCAAAGTGAGAGACTACTACATTCCATTTCAATAGATTAAAGAGAGAGCAAACCGAGTTGCGTCAAAACGAGTGTAGAATGTCCTTCTGACGCCTCCCCATCCCAACCCAACCAAGAGATTCCACTCCACTCCACTCAGGGGGCAACCAAGTACTTGCCCGCCACCACCGCCTTCCTCACCTCCTTGAACCCCTCCCCCTCCATCTCCACCCCGACCTCACTCAGCAACCTCCCCCTGATCGCCCATTTCACCGCCAAAGGCTGTGCCCAACACTGCGCATCCGTTCCCACACTTGCCAACAACTTCTTCTCCTCCGTCGTCGGACCCGATTCGAATGGTTCGGGCAGGCTGAAAATCAAGCGATGTGTATCAGCATGCCATTTCGCCACAGCAGGTTTAGCTTGCACAGTCGAGACGTTCGCCGCCAAGGGGGCTGAAAATTCGAGATCCCTCAAAGGCTCCTCTTCGTCCTCGCCGAAAGGACTCGACGAGGAGGAAGGTAAAACGTTGGCTTTGTAGCTGATGATCAACTTTGTTTGCGTCGGTTCGCATTTCCACAACGCCTTTACCGAAAGCGGGTTGTAGCGAGATTCTTGGCCCGCACCGATACGGACTTGGTATTTGAGTACGACGACGGTCGAGCCATGTTGTGCGGCTAGAGCAGGCAGAACTTCGAATTCGCCGGGGAAACCACCGGCAACAGGGGAGATGTACGTCGTGTTGGGGGCCGCCTTTTCGAATTGGTCGAATTGCGCGATGCGGAAGCGGAGTGGCGAGGCCGCCGTCGCGGACGAGTCGGCGCGGTAGGATAGATGAACCTCGCCGGTGATCATGACCCGAGTCACTTCACCACCTTTCGAAAGGACGTTCACGGTCTCGACAATGTTCGCGCGCAATCCAGGGGAGGACTCGTGCTCGAAAGGATCGGCCGCACCACCGAAGCGAGACGTTGTCGACATCATTGACATGGCCCGGTCGGACGACATTGTAGGTGATCCGACGCGGTTCAACGCCGAGGGGGCAAAGACCGTTGTTGCTGCGGCGGGTGAGGTCGACGACGAGTCCAACGACGTCTCGCGTGATTGCTGTTGTCGCTCGACGGCTGGGGCCAAGGGGATCTCATCGGCGATTATCGGCGAAGTGGCTCCGGAGAGCCCGGGCATCGACGACAAACGGTTGATATCTCGACGACCCCGAGTCGTTCGGCGACTCAGACTCGAAGCCGGGCCCGACGAGAGCAGCGTCGATTGCACCTTTTCGAGCGCGGCTTGACGATCGCTTTCGGCTTCGGTGATGATGGCCGGAGCAAGAGCCACGGCGGGGGCTCGAGAAGAGCTTTGCAAGGGCGCAGCAGTGTCGGCAACTTCGTCGTCGTCGTCATCGTCCATCAGGTTCGAGCCCTGCGCCGTTCGTTCCCACGGCTGCTTGTCGTAGCCAGCCGGAGGAACCGAGTACCCTTCCTCATCAACAGTCGCGCCATTGCTGCTCGTCGGTTCTTGTAGTGGCTCGTCTCTACCCGAGCCACTTGCTGCCTGCCCGCCATTCTTGCTACCGCTGCCCATCCCGGCCGACGATGCCCGTCGGAAGAGGCCGCCGGTACCACCTGGCATCAAGCTATCGCGATTCTGGGTCGACGTCGTGGGCATGATGGGGGCTTGCATCGCATCCGCGCTTGAAGAACCACCCATCAGACTGCTCGATCCACTAGCCGTGCGGTCCAACCGGGGGGCATGAGGAGCCAGAAGGGACGAGCGCGTCGCCGCTTCGGGTCGACTAACGACTGACGCCGAATCACGAGATTCGATCGACTGACGGTCCGCAGAGCCTCGGTACTGGTTGTTGGTTTCGATAGTACCGTATTTGGAAGAGGCGGCTCCTGACGATCCCTTGTCGCGCTTGAAGACCTTTGAGAACTTGAAGCCTCCGCCGGACTTTTTCGGTGCAGCCGGGGAGGGGAGGGGCAGAGGTGCGACGGGAGGGGGTGCAGGTCGAGCGTTGGCTAAGGTAGGCCGCTCGATGTCGACCATCAGCTATACAGCCTTTTGAACCTGTGTATCTGACGGACTCGGCACTCACAAGAAGCTCGCATTCGATCCTGGGTCTGCGCTGGCGGAGCCAGAGTAGGAGGCGGAGCCTGGATCGGCTCCTCGGCAATAGATTCCTCTCGGATCGCGCCGCCATACCCACTCGTGGCGGACGTGGCTCCAAACTCGTTCGTGCTCAGAACACCACTCGCAGCCGCGGACCCACCACCCGAGGCCTTCATACCTTCTCTCAAGCCCCAGCCCTGGATCTCGGCCTGTTCATCGACGCCGAGCACGGTGTTGAGCAGACCTTCGCCGGCTTCCATTCGGTCGCGGCCAAGATCGGACGTAAACGTTCCGGATCGTATGAGAGCCTCCTTGAGGAAGAGCTGGTGCGATTCATCAAGCTTTTGCGAGGTGTCGAGGAAAGCCGGCGTAGCCGACTTGAGAGATGAACCGAGCGTGGCCAAGTGGGCCTGGGAGGTCAGAAGCTTGGTCGAAGTGGACCCTGCCGATTTTGTTCCTTCCTTGCTAGAAGCCTTTGAGGATGTAAAGGGAAGCAGATTGTCGACAGGGGCCGAGACAGTGTGCGAATTTCGGATGACGGCACGAAGCGGGTGAGCCGCGGGGAAGTAAAGTAGCGGATGAGGTCAGCCTTGGCCCGGAGCCTGAACCAAATGTAAGCATTATAATATTGTGACTGCTCCTGACCTTTTGCACCTTGTCAAGCGTGCTCTCGTACTCTCGGACGGTCGAGCCAAGCGACGCCTCGCCCTGCTGCCAGCGAGCCCACTCTGGCTTGGACAAGCTCTGTCGCAACGGAGTCTCGACCTCTTCGACCGTCTTCCTCCTCCACGTCTCGTGCTGCTTGGCCAGTTCGTTGACCTCGACCTCGAGACGCACTCGGACGGCATGCCATGCTCCGAGTTGACGCTGGCGCTCACGGGAATCGAGGCCGAGCTCGTCGATGCTGGCAAAGACCGTGTGCGAGCCGGCCTGGTGCAGTCGAGTCGAGAGCTTCTGCAACGACTTGACGTACGCGTCTTCGACCAATGCCCGCTCGTGGTAGTAGGATGCGAGGTCTTGCGTCAACGCACGAGTGAGCGACAGTCGGGCGGTGACGGCATGGTACGGCGCACCGGGCCGAGCATTGACGAACGAGTCCTGGTAGATGGTCGACGACATGATATGACCGGTATGGTGGTTTCAACAATGGGGACAGGGGTAGAGCTAGGTCAAGCGGATGCGGCGGCCAGGGCGGTGCGATGCGATCGGGATCGTCACGCTCGATGCTCGAAAGTGCTGAGTGAATGCAGTCGACCGGGCCTCAGAAGTGGGGAAGTATGTAGGCGGGAGGTGCACCGGCCTGCACCGGCGGGGCCGCGGGGCGCAGTACAGTGCGATACGAGCTCTGACGAGCACAGGTCAAGTCACTTGAGGGATATGCACACTTGGTGCTGGGTTGGGGTCGTGCCCACGTGGTATAGAGCAGCCGGAGAAGGTGGACTTGCACGGTGGAGGGCAGGAGGGGGCAGGGGGCAGGGGGCAGGGGGCAGGGGGCAAGGGAAAGAGTTGGAGAGTGCCGGCCGCCCTGATCGCACCCTGCCACCTGCCAGTGTGCTGAGCGCTGAGCGCTGAGCAGCGTCAAGACTCATATGGGCGAGTATGGGGGCGCCCATTAATAGATGGGCATGGCCCGAGTCGGGCTGAGTGCGGCAGGTTGCAACCCCGGCGCGCGCCAAAAATAATCGCCGCCGTACATCGGAAATATGATGGTACCGTGCACCGTTGCTCGAATCACTCAAACAAGATAGCAAAAACGAGCCAAGACATGTAGAACCCTCGAGGTGAAACGATTTTTCAGGCGGAGATCCCTTCGATCGGCGATTCCGACAGCCTCCGGCGAGTCGGAGCTGGCGACCGTGCTCGTGCTCATGCTGACGTCTGACGCTGACCGTCGTGGCCGACCGACGACCGACAGTTCGCCTTCGCCGACGACTCCCCCCGGCCTGCCGACGTGCACGGATCCCCTCTCTGAGCATGTCGATTCAAGGGATCGACGGCCGCTGAGTTTGATCTGGCCCGGTTGCCCTCCCCTCACCCGCGGTCCACATCAGTGTTTCTGCAAACCTGTGCGCTGGGCCTGGTGGAGTCTTGAACGCCTTCGATCAGCTCAACAGGGGACCCTCTCTCGATCCCGACTCATCATTTCCGACTCCTCAGGACTCATCGGCTCCCGTCGTTTGGACCAGGCTGGGCGCATCAGGTCGGCTCCTCAGGGAAGAGGATTGGTCATAGTGCTGATCACTTTTTAGGCGGGTGATCGTGTTGGTTGAACTCACTCAGCATTCGGAGCAGGTCAAAGCACCGCCGGTCAGTGTTTTAACAGACGCTCACGGCGTCCGGGAACTCGGCTCGACGGCGGCGGTACCACATTGAACAGAACGCTATACTGACACCTAGTTTCTGCTATCGCCTTATCTGCAGTGTCCCAGAAGCTGATACCGGATACTCGGGACATCAACACTCAAGATGTCGCCTTCTGGAGATTCGGTGAACTCAGCAACGGAGGAGACGACGAACGCTTTGCACGCACTAGCGCCACACACAGCCAAATTGCCGATCATCGATGACGGCATTGCTCCCCAGTCTGAATCTGTTCCGAACTCGTCTAGCACACTCGAGCCTCAAGCTTCATCTCACCATGACCATGGTCTGGTCAACCCCTTGGTACCACTCGACTTCCTCGCAACATCAGCGTCTCGGCAGCATCAGCATCTTCCAGCACTCAACTTCGCAAGACGGAAAACAGTTTCCACCGATCCTACTCATCGATCGAGTTTCGCATCGACGACTAGCTGTGAATGTCTACCCGAAGAGGACGAGCGTGGACCCGGCGCCTTCTCCAGCACTATTCTCACCATCCGGACAAGTGACCTCGAAAGGGACATCGAAGACAAGTGCACGACAACTTCCGACAGCACTCGTTTTGGGAATCGTGAAAGAGCGCTCAGTGGTGCATCCGTCAACTCTACCGTTTCTCTGGACTCGGCACCGCGTCGTCCCCGCCCCTCCACTTCAAGGAGACTATCAACAGCAAGCTTCACCAGCGCTCGCCATCCATCATTCGGGCTGGAAGGGTTTCAGCTTTTCAATATGGTGGGACCGGGATCAGCTACGTCGTCTCCTTACGGCTCTCCTCGTTTGAGAGCTTCGAGCCCTCTCAGCCGCCCCCAGAGCGTTACGTCCCTGGATGAGGAAGAAATTTTGAGGCGTCAAAAGAGACGGTGGACGATCGCCGAGGAGTTCCGAGACTCCGAGCGGGCCTATCTTGCTACACTGGAGATGATCGACACTGTGAGCTCATGCCTGATCGTAGACTCAACAGCCGAGCCTGTATTAATCTGTTATCTTGCAGGTATACTACCAACCTCTGTGTGCGGCTCTACCCGCCGAGGCGATCCAGTTGCAACGCCGAAGCACCGGGACAGCCGCTGCGGAACCATCAGCCGATGCATCGACGAGTCTGATGTCCTCAGCACAACCTGCAAGCTCATCCAGCGTCTCTGTTGCTGCCTCGGTGTCTTTCAAGACTACGGCACCCGTCGTCGGTCGTCACATCATCAAAGAGATCTTTTCCAATTTCGAGGATATCCTCAACCTCTCTCGCGTCGTGCTCGCCGCTCTCGAACTTAGTATACCCCCCCGACCATCGGCCCCCGTGTCTCTACCTCCGATTCATCTATCTTCTACGAGTCTCGCTTCATCTCCCGGCCGGGATACGTCTAGTCGTCCTTCTGACGGTCGCCGAGGCGGGCTTGGACAGAGCGGCGATACTCCAAGTGCAACAGCCGCAAGCCCTCCGGAAAAGGGACTTTGCGAATCTCCGTCACTAGAACAACTCCCCTCGAAGCAACCTACAGCTGTTTCTGGTCAAAGGGCAAATCCCCGTCGACAGTCCTCGAGCCACCGCCGATCTACGCCCCCTCGAGATATTGGCTGCTCTCTGCTCCCTGTCCTTCCCTACCTCAAGCAGTACTCGATCTTCGTCTCGAACTTTGCCGCCTCACTTGCTCGATTGTCATCACTGGAAGAATCACTGGAAGACCCTGATAGAACCGGCAGGTCTGTCTCATCCCCAGACGATCGAGCTCGTTGGCAAGTTTTCATCACCGAGGGTGGTCGCGGGAATGACGGTCGGGCACGAGGTCTCGGTCTCAGTGGGTTGCTGCTCAACATCGTGCAGCGGATCCCACGGTATCGACTACTTCTTAAAGATCTGATTCGATTCACGGAGTGGGATCACCAAGATTACGGGGCACTGGAGAAAGCGTTCGCTCTGGTCGATGAAGGCAAGTAAATGCCAATGAAATGGCTAATTTGAGCTGACTCGCTGGAATCTTACCTGCTTCCCTTACAGTCGCATCCCATCTGGAGGCCCAGATCCGATCCCATGATTCCGATCTCGAGCTTGTGCACCTGCAACGAGCTTTTGCGAATCTCGACTTTGCGCTGCTCGAGCCTGGCAGACGGTTGGTGAAGTCGGGCAAGGTGCTTAAGGTCGACCACAAGAACAACAAGCAGCCGTGCCTCCTCCTTCTTTTCAACGACATGCTTATCTGTGCAAAAGACTCTTCCTCGGCTGAAGAAGTTCAAGCCGCCCCCTCAAAAGGGTTGGGCATAGCTTCCAAGTGGGCCACTAGCATCTTGCGAATGGAGCATCGATTCGCCTTAGGAACCTTGACGGTTCTGGTGGTCGATGACAGTAGCACCTCTACGACCCTCGCCAATCCGGCAACATTCCAATTCCAGCTCGTCAGTCCCGAAAGGAGTTTCACCGTCTGCGTCTGTGAGTCATACGTGGACTGCGACCGCGCACCTTTCTGATGCTAAGGTGATGCTCTCCAGCCTCACCTGTCACCAAAACTGCCTGGATCGATGCCATTCGCCTCGCTTCTTCCCGTCTTCTTGAAGCGCAGCAGTCGCTTCAACGCAGCCTACGACTCGGTCGTACTCACGATTGTCGCGTCTCAGTGCCCTCCTCCCTGTTCACCCCGCCCGCATCGACCCTGTTGCCCCACCCAACGTCGCTGGGAGTGATTCCCCCTACCCCTCTGACATTCCAAGAGGTAACCGCAGAGGAACCAAAACACACACAGCAAGATTACTTCAATTTAACCCCACGAATGCCTCTGAATGAAGTCGAAGCTGTTGACGCCTCGCCACCCTCTAGTTCAACGAATGTTATCGTCCGAGTCCAAGACTACACAGCACCGGTCTGGATACCCGATGCGTCCGCGACAAGATGTATGCGGTGTTGTGAGCTCTTTGGGCTGTGGAGGAGGAGACACCATTGTCGGTTGTGCGGACTGGTCGTTTGCTGGAGGTGCTCACAAAGGGTTAGTCCGCTGCGCGGTCATCTCTCTCGTGCTTACCCTGACAAGATTTAGCTTGTGTTCGAACAGGAGGTGATCTTAGCCGGTCAACAAGAACAGAACGCACGAACATGCGAACTCTGCTTCACATCCATTACCTCAACCTCAACCTCATCCCAAACCCCTCCCAACCCCCATATATCAGAGACAGCTCCCAATCTAATCCTCCAAACTCGCGTCATAGGCAACGAGGAAGAGCGTATGGAAAACCTCGTCTTGCCTTCGTCCATCATTGCCCATTCCTCTGTGGTGCGTCAAGTTGGGGGGACGGTCAAGATGAAGAGGAGATTGACGAGCTTGTTGACGAGGGGAAAGGAAGGTGAGACGATGGGTGCGGCGCCAAAGAGAGGTGCTTGATGCGCTGTGGTAAATTTGGTCCAGGTTGCTTGTCAATAAAATATCTTGTCAACGATGAATTACCACTTTCTGGACTAGACCGAAATTGCGATGCTTGCCACCGAGCTCGAAAAATTGCAGGTCGAAAAAAATGTAACGCTCGCCCCAGCTTCATCTACGACTGCAACAAAGCACAAGCACACAACCGTATAACAAAAAAATAAAGACAAAGGACAAAGCATGAGAGAAAGAGCAGCTTATGTCGTCTGACGGCGCGAGATGCGAAATTTCACGATTGAACGGCGTGACATGACTGCTGCAACGACGATAAAACGAAATTTGATGATGCGAAGAACAAGTAACGAAGGGCCGCAAGCGAGTTGAGATGGATATCGAAGTGTCGACTGACTCAACGCCCAATGAGGGTGAGGACCCTTTGGATCGGTTTCCGCTCCTCCTCCTCTTTCACTGTAGCCACTATTTCATCCGAACCTTCCTGTCTCCAAGCGCTCTGACATGGGTTCCTTTCCTCAAGTCTTCCGTTCCAATCAGTCGACTAAGGACGACGCCCGAAAAGAGACGACATCTGCGACTGATGCTGTTCCGAAGACGACGACGAATAGTACGACGTAGCGCTAGGGAAGGTTTGCTGATGTAGTGGTTGCGGTTGATCGTTTTGGCGATGGTTGACATCAGAGGAGGACCGCGCTCGAGCGGCTAGACCCATGTGAAAGCCTTCGCTCCACTTTGCGTTGAGCATCGCGTCCGAGACGGGGGTGGAGAAGGGCGTCTGAGGAGGGAGGATGGGAACAAGGGGCGTCAAGGGGGCCAGCACTTGACGACGTGTGGGGCTCGATGCTGCCGCGGAGAAGTTCGGGGGTGCCGAGGGGAAAGGCATCGGAGGAGGAGGAGGTGGAGGAACGACTTGGTTGATGGGTGAAGTATTGTAGCTCGTCAAAGAAGGCAGTATCGCATGAGCACTCCTCGAGGAAGGAAGATGGGAAGGAAGCGGAGTGTATGCTGAGATGAGCGGTGGTACGTCCTGGGCGGCGACCGCCGAAAGCATCGGCATGGAGCGGCTCGAGGGATACGATTGAACGTAAACAGTTGCAGGTATACTCTCAATTTGCGTGTTGGACTCATTGCTGAGCGATTGAGAGCGATGGATCGTGATAGAGTTGGCCAAGTCATGCGCGAAGGGGAAACAGCGCAGGCAGATCTTGCGACGGCGCCAGTTCTGCACATCATCTGCTCGTCAGTAGGTTCAAATCATGTCGTCGCGGTGAAGAGGGAAGAGTCTTACCACGAAACCACATTCGCACGTCCAATCGCCTTGCTGACGCTGCATCGGACCAACATTGCCCGTGTTGATGATTGGAGCCTGGTTCGCTGACGTCGACTCGGCGGGCGCAAGTTGGCCGATTCGAGGGATACGACCGCCATGAAGTCGAGCGATGCGGTCGGTATCGAATGGGTTCAAAGGGTAAGGTGTGTTCAAGTTGGAGTCATCGTCACTGCCCAGCATCGATGCGACAGGCACGAGCGTGCGCAGGGGGCTGGATTGAGAGCCACCACCGCTCGAGTCCGACGAGCTGGGCACGCGACAAGCTGAAGCTTGCGATCGAATGGGTGTTGTGTACGCAGGTACGCTCATGACATCACCGAAGGTGTCCTTCCGAGTGTTTGAAAGCGGAGTACCAAGGCTCGAGTGAGAGCTCTGATTCAAATGAGCACCGAATGGCTTTCCAGGCGACGCAAAGGAAGAATTGTGCCCCGCACGAATAGGTTTGGCGGGTGACCTGGGCAATGAGAAGTTGGCGGGTCCACTCGAGCCACTTTCAGAGTCGTAACCTGACCTCCAATGTCGTTTGTCTTGGTCTGTAACCATCTTCGGAAAATCGAGTTCGGCGGATGGGAGTAGTTCGTTGTGGTGATGTCGAAGCGAGCGATAAGAAGACGAAGGGGGGTTGTACGGGGCGGCCGCCGCAGCAGAGGCACGAGGAGGTTGAACCTCGTCGAATTGTGAATGCCTTGATGAGGTAGCTCTTGAGGGCAAGAATTCGCTGAAGGTAGGGAACAAGGAAGGTGGTGTTGGCTTATGGGAAGAGACGGAGGTATCGAGGAACGAACTATCACTTCCGCGCGAGTCGTCGAGGATCGAAGACAGTGGCGTCGAGAAGGACGAGCTCGAGTTGGGCCACGTCGAAAAATGATCGGACGACGGAGTCGAATTGACGATCAAAATGGAATCTCGAGAAGGGGTAGTTAGGGAGCGTGTGGCTCGATTGGCACCGTTTCCACCCAAGATGGCAGCGACCGGTGAACTCCAGTCCGTCTTGGTCGAAGCGCCCTGGCACTGGAACAGACCAAACTCCGAGATCGCATCGCGTGCTTGCGCATCGGCGTATCGAACTCTACTCGCATCTATGGTCTGCTCACGGAGCTTTTCGGAGCCATTCGAGTGTCTTTGGCCGACCTCGGACGAATTGAAGGGGTCGAGCTCGCGGGGTGGCTCCGAGTCAAAAGTGGGGAAAGGAGAGCCTGGAGGCGCTTGGGCCGCCGCCGGTGCCCGCGATTGCGGAGCGGCACGCGAAGTCGTCGACGCCGATCGAGCACCGGCGGCGGCGGTCGTCGAGGTGGACGAGCTTGAGGCCAACTGATGCAACCAACGATGGACAGGTGGACTAGGGGGTGGGAAGCGATAAGGAGAGTCATTGCACTGCAAGGAAGGAGGAGGCATCGTCGTGGTCGCCGCTGATGGAGCGAAATGGGCTCCGAAGCGGGGTTAGTCAATTGAAGCAGCGCTGATGCGATGATGACAGCGAGCTCGGTACTTGCTTTGGGCAATAACACGGATCGAGTCGTTTCCAGGCGGTTGGGAGGGGGGCGGCGGCCACACAAAGTGAGACTGGGGAGAATCGGCAAGAGCGTGGGGTAGTGTAAGATGGCGGAAGGCCAAGGGTGCGGGTGCAGAGGGTCGATTCGCCGTGGCATGAACGGTCCCGAGGAGCCCGACGCGGATCGCGTGGAGAGAGGGGGCCTATGCACCGGGCTCTATATCCGCCGCCGGAGTGACCCGATTCTTTTTTCAAACATGATGGCTTCATGCCATTCATTACTGTGCGACTGAATACGACATTACAAATCAAAGATAGCGCTGCGATGAGCACCGGAAACGTTGCTTTGGCTTAATGAAATCGTAGGGGCTCTGCTGATCATGCCGACTTGAGCCTGTTCGAGCTAAGTGTATGCACGGGTACGGTCTGCTGATATTTCGGCACCTTTTCCATGCATGTTACATTTCGGCCCCTGCTGCGCTCGATCGGAACAACATATGAGAGAGCGCCGACAGGGGTGCTGGCCTGAGGCTCCCTCAGGGGTAAAGACGGTGACGGAGGAGCTCGGGTCGGCGATCGCCGCTGAGAGGCTCAGCGCTGATCGTCAGCAGCTGAGGTGAGTCCACTGGGCTGAAATCCTGACGTGTGAACCGCCAGGCTCCAATGAACTCTCTGGGAAGTTCAGAGATACCGTATAAAAGACACGTTCTCCGTCCAGTGAGTTCAGGTTACAGTGACTTCTGCACGCGCCAAATTGCATGCTCAAGTCGAAGCTCCGAGCTCCGAGTCCGAGTTAGCCTCCCCGACGGCCTCATGATCGCCACTGGTACAGCCTTTGCCGAATCTCCTACGAACATATGTTAGGGACACGTGGCAGCGGGTACAAGTCATTCTGTGCGACCATCGATAATCGCCGTGTCGATTGCATTCAAGCTACCACGTACCGACGCATGCAGTCTACTACAGTGATCGATCCCACTGCTGACCGTCTTGGTGAGGCCCAGGGCCACAACTCAGCGCCGTCCCACTCGTGCCAAATGAAAAGGGCTGCGGGTCGTTGGTTGTCTCGGAAACGGTTTCTCTCTAAGCTCGAAACCCTCCACTCTGTGGAGGGGCTTGTACCTTATCGGCGCGTTTGGCTGAGTTGCCTATCGAAATTTGGCCCAGAAAAGTACCACCTTGCTGTAGCTTGGCAAATAAAATCACCTATACAATATGTAGAAAAAGGCGCATTCTTATGCTATTTTTACGAGCATCTGCCCAAGGGAAGACTCTTGCATGCCCTATTCATTGAGCTACAGCGGTGAGAAGTCGTTAGTTTCGACTTGAGCTGGCTCGCGCACGGACCCAGAGGGACGGTTCTTCGCGCCGACGTGAATCAGCCAGCCGCGCCTCACTGGCCTCACCTTCGGTCCACAACGCCAGTCCACGACGTTGCTACCGCCCTCATGATCCACCATGCCCGTACAAACGCCAACGCCTGTCAAGGGCACACCTCGTCGGTCTCTATCGATTGAGTTCAGAGAGTCGCCCTTACGATCAGCTTCGAGGGCAAAGCCAACGACATCAAGGGACCATCACTCAACCGACACAACCCCCGAACTGCCTACCCGTCGCTCTCGGGCTGCTCACTGGAGATCACAATCAACTCAAGAAGATCGAATTGACCCGATTGAGTTACGCAAGAAGCTCAGACTCCTCTTGGTCGACAAATTTGGCGAGGACTTCGTCCCCCGGCCGGTGCAAATCGAAGCTCTCGCGGGACTTTCTCAGCTCGAGCGGTTCAAGACTCGAAATCAGTATGACGCTGTATTCGTCATTGCTCCAACGGGTTCAGGGAAGAGCTTGATATTTCAACAAGCCATGTAGTTGGTTTACGGACGCCGGGCTGTGACCATAGTTGTCAGTCCTCTGACTGCGCTGAGCCAACATCACGTAGGTTTTATTCGGTTGGCCGTTGAGGCGACGCGGGTGCTGAGTCCCACGGTCTTGATACCTTTACAGGCCGACAATCTCAATCAAGAGCGAAAGAAAGCGACTGCCATATGCAAGGAAACATGGGGTGACGGAGAGCTGTACCAGCAGTTGAGCGATCCCTCCCATAATGTCTCATTCATCTTCATCGTACGTGTCCATTCAATCCGCCGCAGGTTTTTGCATGCTCACAACCCCCGTACTGATAGCTTGCTACTAAAAATCTCCGACAGTCTCCAGAGATGCACAATGGAGACAAGCACTGGGCTGAGCTGATATCGAAGGACTCGTTCCGAGAACGAGTCAAGCTGCTTGCCTATGACGAGGCAATCAAGATCGCCGAGTGAGGATTCAGCGAAAGGGAGCGCGCCGGAGCTATGAGCCACTCAATGGAATGGAAGGCTCGACTGCATTTCGCCCTGTATATGGGCAAGTTGCGGAGCGGCGTCTCATACTTGGCTGTCAAACACTCTTCCTCACCGCCGGCGCTCCACCCTACAAAATCAACAAGAGCCTAAAGGTATCCAGTCTCTCCGAATCGCGGAAGTTCTTCGCCAAAGCCGACTTTTTCCGACCAAAACTACGCAATGTTGTTGTCGAGATGAAACCAAGAACAAACGGTACGATGGGAAATATCAGGGATCTCCTTAAGCAGCGGCCAGATCCCAGCACCTTTCCCCAGTCCACCATGTACTTCGACAGCCGGGAAGCGACGTCAAACGCTTGAGCTGGGTCCAATTACTGTTGAAGAGCTTTGGCCTATGATTGTGAACACCATCGTGTTGTGTTGACGGGCTGAAATACCACGAGAGGTATTGATTTGAGGTATTGACATAGTGAGAGCTTGTGAAGCCGAAACCGAGCGAATAGATCTGCCTGACGGCGGCGATCCTGGCGAGTCGTCGAGTCATAGCGTCTGCGGTTGCGCGTCATTCTGAGATAAGCGTGGTGTTGCACCGAGAACAAGCGAAGAGCATAGTACGGAGAAGACGAGTGATGCGGAATGGACGGGAGAAAAACCGATGCGCACACGCCGAAGTGCGCAAGCCGGCGGCTGCAGCTGTGCTGCCGCTCGGACCACTCGGGACCGAATTGACCAAATTTACACACTTCAGATCATTATAGCTTCGGCTACAGATGGGGTATCCTCTTGCCGTTCGGCACACGCCATTTTTCTAGTAGAAGATCAATAACATCTCTGCGTTTTGGATAATTGTAAGTACTTGCCACGCTACAGAAAACCACCCCAAAATGGCCCTGAAATTTCGGAGGGCAACTGGGCCAGGCGCGCCGATAAGTCCTAAGCCCCTCGCAGAGGGAGGGCTTAGTTGAGCTTAGTTTCTCTCGGGCAAAGAGTCTTATCACAGCTGGCCCTGGCTGGTCGGCAGGCCCAGAGGCACGCGCCCGGCCCAAAGCCATCCAGAGCTGCCCTGCCCCAGAGCCTGGCCCCCGCGGCACGCTGCGGCAGGTAAAAGCAGCCTCAGGTCAAGGCTTGTAGAGGCTGGTAAGCTGAAGCGCGCCTCGGATTAGCTTCTTTGCTTTCATTCGTATCACCTTCGACTCGGCTCGCCTCCGTGTTTCGACTCGATTCTGTCCCACCACACCACCTACTCCTTCCCGCTCCACCCTATCTAGACCGTTCTTTCGCAGTATGCGGTTTTCTCTTTTGGCTACGGCCGCGCTCTACGCCGCCGCTCGAGCGAGCTCCGTGATTGACTTGACCACGGCCAACTTTGACGAGGTGGCCAAGGGTGACTTGTCCTTGATCGAGTTCTTTGCCCCCTGGTACGTGATCATTCGGAATGTGTTCCATCGTCTACTCGACGCTCGTGGTGCGATCGAGGTGTTGTAGGATGCCGCACGCGGTGAGACACTGTCGACGATTGGAGCCCAAAGTGGCGACGTGGCAATTCCTTCGGCGGCTAGCACGTGGCACCAGCGTTCATGGAGTTTGCTGCACCGTGTTGATGATGCGTCCTGATGAAAGCGCACTCGATACTGACACTGTGCCGTTCCAACTGTCGATCGTATGCACACCCAGGTGCGGTCACTGCAAGGCTTTGGCACCTCACGTAAGCTGGCCCCAGCTTTGCCCTCTGAGCGTTCCCCTGCCTGCCGGACTCGTGCGCGCGTCGGTCGCCACACTTGGGCTTCCCGACTCCCGAGCCAAGCGTCGTTCGCGCGCACCCAAAGACGGCCAGGCCGGCCAGCGCACAGCAGCCACCGCCGCATTGCCACAATCCCGCCGAACGCTCGCTGACCAAGCCCGAATCGTCCTCCTGTCCTGTCCGCTGTCCGCTGTCTGCCTCGCGTACGCCTCTCCCGTTTCGTCCTCTCTCTCTCCTCTCTCCCACTCACAGTACGATGAGGCATCTGACATCCTCGCCAAGCACGGCGTCGTACTGGCCAAGGTCGACTGCACCGTTGAAGCCGACCTCTGCAGCTCCCACGGTGTTTCGGGCTACCCGTAAGTCGAATCGGGTCACTCTCACCGTTATCGTGGCCGAACGAGCGCGCCATATGGCCCCTTGTCCGTGCTTTGGGGTGTAGCTCCAGACCTCACCCTAGATCACGAGGCTTACATCTTGTACGCTCCTGGCTTCACAGCACACTCAAGATCTTCCGCAAGGGTGAATCGTCCGACTACGGTGGAACTCGCAAGACCGATGGTATCGGTACGTTTCTCGCACCTAAAGTCACACTTGCTCTCGGGTGACCGAGCAGAATTTGTAGTTCTGACTTCTGCATCGTCCCGTTGCTTGTTTCGAACAGTCTCTCACATGAAAAAGTGAATTTAATCTCCACGGCCTTCACGGTGTGCAGGCCAAGTCGTACTGACTCTTTCTTCGCTCTCAGGCAACTTCTTCCCGCAATTTCGGATGTCACCGCCTCGACCCACGACGAGTTCTCCAAGGCTGACAAGCTTGTCTTCATCGCCTACATTGCTGAGGATGACAAGACGAGCAAGGAGGTCTTCACCGCCTTCGCCGAGTCCCATCGCGACGACTATCTCTTTGGTCTCTCCCATGATGCCGAGAAGGTCGCCGGCGTGACCCCGCCTGCCGTTGTTCTCTACAAAACCTTCGACGAGGGCCGCAACGACTTCACCGACAAGTTCTCGTCCCAGGCACTCGATGCGTTCGCCAAGGAGCACACCGTCCCCATTCTCGACGAGATCTCGCCCGACAACTTCGCCATGTACGCCGAAGCGGGCATTCCTCTTGCTTACATCTTCATTCCCGATGATCACGAGAAGCGCAGCGAGATCACCAAGTCGATCGAGCCCATCGCCCGCGAGCATAAGGGCAAGATCAACTTTGTATGGATCGATGCCACCAAGTTTGCTGACCACGCCAAGTCGCTCAACCTCCTCGAGCCTACGTGGCCATCGTTCGCCATCCAGAACATCCAGGAGATGACCAAGTTCCCACTCGACCAGTCCAAACCCGTCGACCACAAGACCATTTCGGCTTTCGTTCAGGACTTCCTCGGTGGCAAGATCGCCGCCTCGATCAAGTCCGAGAAGGTCCCCGCTACGCAAGACGAGTCCGTCTTCGTGCTCGTGGCCGACCAGTTCGATGAGGTGGTCGCCGACAAGTCAAAAGATCTCCTCGTCGAGTTCTACGCCCCGTGGTGCGGCCACTGCAAGAAGCTCAAGCCCACTTGGGATGAGCTTGGAGAGAAGTACGCCGGCGCCAAGTCCAAGGTCACTATCGCCAAGTTCGACGCGACCGAGAACGACGTCCCCGCCTCGGCTGGCTTCCGCGTCTCGGGTTTCCCCACCATCAAATTCCGCGCTGCCAACACCAACGAATGGATCTCGTACGAGGGTGACCGTACGCTTGAGTCCTTGGTCGAGTTCCTCGAGTCCAACGCGACCAACGATATTAGCGCCGCTGATGAGCCCGCTGTAGCTGGCGGGGCTGCTAACGAACAGACCGTCATCGCTGACCACCACGACGAGCTTGTGAGTTGTATTCTGAATCGTCATTCTTCCTCCGAGAGGCACGCTCACACCTCCTGCCTTGCCTTTGCCCCCGCAGTAATTGTCTGATGTCGTGTAATGCATTTGACGTGTCTGTTGGGTCATTTTCGTGGTTAGGAAGCGTCGCTCTATAGGCGCTCGGACCCGACCCGAGGAGTGGGTCATTGAGTGTGCAAAATAAAACATTGAGTTCCCTCTGAAAATTGCAGAGAGACACACGAGCGAGTGAGAGGATCGTAGTTTGCATTCTCAAGAGTCAAACTCTCAGGCACTAACGCCAGCTACAGATTTTTCCAGCACTCGCCAATCGACCAACGACTGCTCGTTCACGTCCGGCGCACCGCACCCCCTCAATGCATCCAAAACGTTTCGAACGAAGGTGGCGTAGCTGTCTCGACTACGTTCGTTGGTGATGGCCTGAGAGATTGGAGAATAATGGTCAGGAACGCACGCGCTTCGCAGAGGGAACGAAAATAGTGAACCGACCGCAAGATGATCCTTCATCGATGCGAGCATGGCACGAAACAAGTTGAGGATCATGGCTCGGTTCAACGATGATTTTGATCCCGCAAAGAGTAGCGGGTTCGCGTTGGATGCGACGAGATGTCGTGCAGCGCTTGTGAAAACGCCTGTGAGCATTCCACGGTCGACTAGCTGGGTGAGCTTCGTTCAATGCAGCGCGAGAGGGAAGGACTCACTGCGAAGGATATCGAGACGACGTTCGTCGATGGTATGCTCATCGAGCTCGAAGCGACAATCCTCGTTGCGTTCGAGCAGGATTTGAGCGTCCTCGAAAAGCGGCGAGACCGGCTCGGCGTTGAGCAATCGCGAGGTGAGGATGTGCTCCGACGAGAGGGAGTAAGCGACAATGGTTTGGAACCAGATCTCCAGAATGTCATCCTGGAACAACTGCAATTTGAAGCGAATCGGGTCAGTTTTGGTGCCGATTCGTTGATCAGCATGGGGAGACGTGGACTGACCGAGTAGGCATCAGGCTCGTGACGTAGGATCAGGATAGCGAGTAGGAGACCGATCGTGCGTCGACCTATAGGATCGATGACCCGTTTCCACGACTGATCCCCGTAGCGTAGGTAGCCGCTCCAGTCCTGCATGAGAAGCGCCGTAGGTCAGTGCTAGCACCACCAATGTAGATGAGGGGCACTCACGACGAGATTGTGTTGAACCATGACAGCAACGCATCTAATCCATGTCTCAACAACCTGCTGGGCGTAGGCAACCAGATCGCCGACAGTGGGGCCTCTCCATTCGGTCGACCCAAAAATGTTGGATACCAAGCGAAAGAAAGCCGGAGAGAGCTCGCTTTTAATCATCTGTGAAGCGACATCGTCTCAACACGGGCTCTCGAAAGCTCAGGGAACTTCCGCATCACTCACCTGAGCAAACCCTGCATCCTTCCTCTTGAACAGGTCACGATCGTCGCCGCCCTCAGGGGCCGTAGTCGACTCGACCCCCAGCATCGCGTTCAACGCCGGGTCCTCAAAGTCCATCTCGTCGAACATGCCAAACTCATCCTGGCTGATCCCGGCATCGGCACCGGTTGCCGCGAGTGGAGCGGTCGCATTGATTCGAGGCTTTGCCTTGGCCCGTAGATCGAGGAAACAGGCCACCGTGCGGACGATCTCGAGGCCGATCATGGGATCGAGCGCAAGCGGCGATTCGAGTAGCGAAGAGGTCCATGCTGGAGTAGAAAAGCGCCGTCTCGTCAGCGAGGCGTTTCGTGGGTTTAGAGCAGATGTGGAGCCGTAGACTCACCGGGCTCGAGCAGGCACAGCTCAGGGAATGCGTTCTCGTCTTTGACCGTCGACCTCAGAACGAGTTGGATCGATCGCAGAATCATCGTCAGCAGCACAGCTCGATGCCACAGCGGATCGTTGCCTGTCGGTCGGGGCAGATTGCCGGCTTTGCGACCCAACCCTCGATTGTCGATGCGCCTTTGCTTCTCGATGTCGATATACTCCTTCTTGAGCTGAGTCGTGATCGACCCAAACCACATAGAAGCGGATGCAAGATCAAGATTATGGGCTTGGAAGGCGAGCATAAAGTACAGCACGGCGCGCACGTTGATGCGACGAGCTTCTTCATCCACTTGCGCGAGATCAATTAGACGGCGTGCTTGATCAAGGTACTGCAAAGCCAGGTTCGAGGCGGGTCGAGCGGCAGCGATGAGTCGAGCAAATGTGATGAGGAGACTGTAGTGGTTGACCAAGGTTGAATGGGACCGAAGCAACTCAGGAGACGCACGGGTCCATGCTTGCGAGGTCATGGGCGTCAGGCGCGAGAAGAGCCGAGTCAGTTGGCGGAACTCTCCGGAGGCGACGGCTGCTTGTGATGCATTGGTGATGAGCTTGAGCATGATAGAGAACGCTGTATCATCTTTTGGATCAAGCACAAGCGCTTTCGTCGAGTTGAACTGGTCGGGGTGCTGTAAAAATATGGCGAAGTCACCGTGGGTCTCGATCGACAAATCCGCCAGGCAGCGAGCGTTGAGGATATCGTACAGCTTGGGGAGGACGTCGCTGCGTTGGTCAATCTTCCAATTCCATCGATCGACGAAGACGAGACACCGGGCGAAGAGCGTCCAGATGTAGCGATCCCGACGGGCGATGGCCGTGTTAGAAAGTGCACGATCGGGACGAGCGAGCGCGACGACGTTAATGGGCTGGAGCGCACGCATTACCACACCCCAATGCGCAGAAAGACGAGGTGTCGAGGTCGAAATACCCAAATACGAGAACTGAGATATTGCGCATAGCATCATCGTGGTGTAGGACATGATCTCGCCAGCGATGGGTCCCTTCTGAGCGCGCGGTGAGAGCTGCGCAGCAATTCGCTCCAGCGTGATCATCCACAGGTCAGCTTGGCGCCAAGTCATACCATCAAAATCTTGCACCGCGACGCTGACCAATCCGAGCCACACATGCAGGCTAATGTCGTTGAGCGCGGTCTCGGGCGAAGAAGAGGCGCATTTGAGACCTTTCATCGTCGACTCGACCCCACGGTGGACAAGTCGGTCGATCAATTTCGATGCGAGCGAGTGTACTAACTCGGCGGGTTGGGCGAGTCGTATCGCCAGATCGAAGCCGTACCACAACAGCACCAATCGACGACCACTGAAAGCTTTGACGTCCTTGGCGACATCAGAAACAGAGTCCAATCGCTCTTCCAAGCGATTGAGTTGCGACGAGATCGATGCCGAGAGCGAAGTGGGAATAACGCTTCCGCTCGAAATTACGCGACCCAAGAGATGGAGAGCACCACTGCAAGTCATCATTTCGGTCTCGTCACCTTGGCATATCACTTCAAAGACGCTGTCGCAGAACTGTGGCAGCATCGCTTCGACCGCCTCCGGAGTCATGGCGCCATCGAGTGCCAGTTCGCCCAATGTGAGACGAGTATTGTGAGCTGACTCGTCAGGCGTATGTCGACGGAGGAGTGATTCGAGGTGACCGCGACGAACGAAAGAGGAGCCATCGAGCTGAAGACCCACCGGCAGAAGCTCAATCTCAAAGTCATGCGAAAACTTGCCGAAGGTTGCCCAGTGCTCGTTCTCATCTGCTGGCGCTCGTGAAGGCGCCGTCGTCGTCGTCGTCTTCGTCGCGGTCATCGAAGGGGGCCGAGGAGCGTCCCGAGTGACCACGGCTGGCACTCCTCCCATATTCCGAGGGGCCAAGCGGGGAGAAATTTGCTCGATATCGCTTTGTCCGGGTTCTTCGTCGAGGACAAGGTGTAGACTTGCCTGCCGCGCATAAGTGAAGATGGCGTCACCCGTGTCGAGCGAGACCGCTTTTCTCATGGGCCTAGGCCTAGATGAACTTCGATTGCTCCGACTGTGTTGGTCACTCGGTCGGGTGTTAGCTTTATTCGCTGTGAGCCCAGTTTGATCGTGTGAAGGGCGATTGCCCTTGTCGTGCAAAGGAGGGCGCCTGTGCGTCTTGCTCTTCTCGTTCGTCTTGGAGCCAGTAGGGTTTCCGGCTTTGGTGTTCTTCCTCTTGGTTCCCACCGTGTTTTTCTTCGCCCTCTTGAGGAACCGATCGACGATATCTTCATCGTTGTTGACCCGTCGCCGAGGTGCGAAAGCGTGCAACCACGACTCGACGGCGTCCTCCTCCGCTTCCTCCTCGGATCCTCGACCCATCATGTCCTCATCCTCATCCGACTCGTCTGTAAAAGCATCCCCTTTGAGCCTCAAGGGCCCTGCCAGGTCAAGTTCCGGAACCCTTCTGATTCTCGCAACCCCCTTAGCCGGCGCATGATCCGACGATGAGAGCCGCTCGTCATCGCCCGATCCGAAATCCGAGCCGCTCGTTAAACCCTCTCGTTTCTCCCTTTCCATCGCGACGAGGTCTTTCTGGGCCTTCTTCATGAATACGGCGGGCATCATCATCCCTAGCGCTTTCTTCCGCTTGCCTTGGAGCTTTGTCTTGTCTTTGGGCGATACCAAAGGCGGTCTTCGAGGTGACGAGGACGATGCTGAGTCCATGGACTGATCTTCATCCTCTTCGTCCGAATCCTCCTCCTGATCCGATGAGTCGGAAGATGCCGACATCTCAACCTCCAAAATCCTGGAATCGAGAGCTGACTTGTCCAACGCAGACCTTTTCGATCGCGCGTGAAGCGACTTGGACGGCAGTGCCCTCTTCCGTTTCTTGCTCGACTCGCCGACGACAGGAGCGCTCGATGAGGCGGACGAATTCGTATCGTCCTGCTCCGAGGATTCATCCGGTGTGTGCTCCTCCCCCTCGTTCTTTCGTATCCGCGATTGATTCATGCCTTTGGACAGTTTCCCGGGTATCCGCTTGGCTGTTGGGTGAGCTTGATCCTGATTAGCTCTTTCCACAGGATTGCCTCGATGGTCGTTGCCGTCATTCGTCCTGCGTAGTGGCACAGATGATTCTGAAAGAGAAGAAAGTCGGTCTCAGGTTCTTTAAACTGTCTGACAATAGGCGAGACGATCGCCCACCTAAGATTCCCACCCCTCTCGGCCCCATCGCTCGCGCCACCTCCCTCTGCATCCTCTTCCTCCTCCTCGCCTCCCGCTCAAGCAGAGCCTCGCCGTCCTCTGACCCACTAGTCTGTTCAGTATCCATCCGTCTAGATCCATCCTGGCCTCTCCTAACCATCTCCCCTTCCTCAAACTCCAACCACCCCCCTAGATCATCCTTGCCCTTCTTCCTCAACTCCTCCTTTTTCCTCATCATCTCTTCTTTCGTCATCTCGTCCCCCTTCCTGACTCCGGCCACGACCGCACCTTGCCAGCCGTTCTTGAGCAGGGTACGGGTGTAGCGCGCTTGTTCGATCGAATAGGGGTTGAGTTGGGCCAAGGTGCGTTGGCGCAGTGCTCGACCTGCCGGTTCGGGTTCGGGGGGACGTAGCTTGGCCGGGGAATCGGGCGCAGATGAAGAAGGTGAGGATGACGTTGCAGACGGAGAGAGGGCCGCTAGATGAGGTCGAGGACGGTTTGGCGTTGGAGATCGAGATGGGCGGACGGCATGCGCCGAGTTTGATCGAGCGCAAGGCGAGTGGCGATCCTCGGACCGGGCGGAAGGGGAAGGGGAAGAGGATGGGATGACCACTTGCGACTGATGGGTACCCGAGGGCGAGGCCAGTATCTGCGAGAGTGTGCGCGACTCGACCGAGATTTGGGATGAATGAAGAGACGAGGGGACACTGTTCGGACTGCCGAGACGGGGGCCTGGTCCGGGTGAGGGTGAGGGTGAGGGTGGGGGTGAGGGTCGATAGAATTCGCGGGTCGGGGAGGGAAGAGGCGAGTTCTGTTGGAACGCGGAACCGATCGATGGGAACTGCACGGGAGGTGTGGCAATCCGTCTGCGAGGCGAGGCCACGCCAATTCGATTCGAGGCAGGCGGCCGGGCACTGGGCGTCGAATGGGCAGAGGGGTGCAGGGTAGAGGTCTCGGCTTGTCCGTTCGGGGTCATCGCTGGTCGAGGAGTCTGACGCCAAGCGCTGCCACCCGTCAGTGCCCCCGGGTCGATGCTGGCCCGAGCCATGCAAGAGGGAGGACTGACCTGAACGGGCTGCTGCAGCTCGAGCTGGTCTGCCAAGGCGGTCATTCTCGCGAGTTCCTCGATGCGTGCCCAGTAGTCTTCTTGTCCGAGCCTGACCGATCGCTCTTCCCTTTCACCCAAGTCCGAGGGCGCGACACTACTGGACCGTTCTGCGGGCGTCGTCATCGGTAGAAGCGTGCAAGTCATGATCGTCGACGGTCGGCGCGTCTCGTCGCGTTCAGAAGCTGTTGGCGGCTCCTGTCGAGCGGTGGTCGTACGCGGAGCCGACACGGGTGAAGGTGTCGGCGATTGGGGTGACCACCCATCCTCCTCCAGACCAAGGATGTCCATCGCTCGAGAGCAAACCCCGAAAGCAGGTGGCGCTGGTGCGAGGAACGCGTTGCAGCGGGCAGACGGGCAGACGGGCAAACAGCTCTCGCGACCAGACTCGCGACAGCCTCTTCACAGCTTCGACGCGAATCGGGAGGTCCGTGCGCTGGGGGTCCGTGCGCCGGGGGGTCCGTGCGTCGCACTTGGATTTCCGGGTGTGACTAAGTGTACCGCGACGAAAGGAAAATTCGAAACAATACATAGTACCGATCGGAGCTACGTTGCAGTATTTTTTCCAGAATTTACACCAATCTCCTTGGTGCCTGAATTGAAGAAACTTTGTCAATTTGGGCGTCGATGCCAACTAAATAAGTAGTGATGCGCGCCGACGAGAAGTGTTTCTTGACTTTCTGTTCCCTGTCGCGGGTCAACAAGCGATCCGTGCCCAGTCCCCGTGCCCCCGATGGGCACGCTCGAGTCGCACAGTCCCTTCCGCGATATGGACACCAAACCCAACCTGGCCAACTGCGAGCACGAACGACCAGCAGGCCTGTCTGCGTTCTCGAGCCTGTTGCAGCGCTTTCGGCACGCCACCGCCACCAGCACTGGCAGTCGCGACCAACGCGACTGGATGTCAAAAGTGCCACCGGCATCTGCTTCGCCGCCGCGGCCGCGCTCAGCCGCGAGGGAGCCCACAGCAGCCTCACCCGTAGCATCCACTTCCAGTTCCAGGATCCTAGTTCCTATCAAAGCACCTGTGGCACCCACACGCAGTCAGAGTCGTCGGCCTCGGCGCCCGAGTCGCAGCTCCACATCCCGATCCCAGCCGGCCATTACGAGTCCGAGCACACGACCATCGACGACTACATCACTTCGTCCCGGTCCAAGAGCATCTCTTCTTTCAAGTCCCCACTTTGAATCCTCTCCCAGCGACCCTTCCTCGGAAAGCTCACTCTCGGACCTCGATGACGAGCACGACATCTGCTACGGCTCCTCCTCCGACGACGACAACTTTGCCCTCTCTTCGCGGACCTCGTCTCGTCTCGTCGAAAAGCGCAAGAAACGCAAACGTTCTACATCATCCAAGCCGGCTTTGCCATCGAGTCCGCCGAAGAAACTGGCGACAACACCCGCGCTGAAATACGCTGATCCTTCCGTTTATGCCGACTTGGACCCTTTGACCGACTACCTCGTCCCCGGGCTAGACCTGGTCATGTGCGGCATCAATCCTGGATGTCAGAGTGCGAGAAATGGGCACCACTGTGCGTATCTACATCTCATGGCAGCTTGCTCTTCAACAAGGAACTCGTCCGACTCGTTTCATCTCCCGCCTCCAGATGCCCACCCCTCCAACCATTTCTATAAATGCCTGCACCAATCCGGCCTCACGCCCCGCCGAGTCGACCCTTCTGCCTGTCGGAAGCTCATCAAGAAATGCTCCATCGGATTAACGAATCTCGTCGAACGACCAACACGCCAAGAGACCGAATTGAAAAAGGATGAGAAGCGAGCCGGGTGCGCGAGCCTTCTCGTCAAGATCGAGAAGAATCGACCTCATTTCGTCGCCTTTGCTGGACTGGACGTCGGCAGGGTCTTCAGGGATTATCTGGTGGCGCATGAGGGGGCTAAGAGGACGTATGAGTATCGGCCTGATCAAGGACTGCCACCTGTTGTGCCTTTACCGATCTTGGATGCAAGCTACGATTCTGATGAAGCCGACTATTTCGTTCCCAAGTCTCGTACACCCGTCAAGCGACACCAAAGTCCGAGGCCGAAGGTCGAGAGTCCACTTGGGTTGAAGAAGGAGGACGCGCATGTCGATGTTCATATCAAGACCAAAAAGGAGGAGATAGAAGGTCGACAACTCATGATATCAGGGGTGGACACCAAGATCGAGACCGAGCCCAAACCGCTTCCCAAAGATTGGGCCCGGGATTTGGGCTTGCAACCCGTTATACTATCCTTCCCACCTTACGGAAAGCATGCTCAAGGATCGACGAGGCGCACAAAAACGTACCTTTGGTTGTTCCCTTCACCGTCTGGACTGGTCAGACCGTATCAGGTGTGTGGGGATGCATAGCCTGGACAGCTCTGCTTCGTCGCAGCTCACCCTCTCGGCGTCGTCTTTGCAGCTTCCGGACAAGATCGATATGCATGTTCGACTGCGAGAAACAATTCAAGCTGTCAAGAGAGGCGATGACCCCTTCGCAGACTTTCGACGCGCAGGAGGAGAGGTGCATGAGTATCTTGCTGAGATGATCATGGGTGGGGAAGAGTTGGCATGAGTTTCACCTGCTTGCATTGGTGCATACTTTGTTGTATGCTCTTGAACTACTGTCATAGCTCTGCCTGATTGTTATCATTAAGTATCTGATCATTAAGTGTCTGATTGTTATCATTAAGTGTCTGATTGTTATCATTAAGCAATTGCAATGCTTGGTGCTTCGAAAGGCCTTCTTTGCACATGCTACATCCAGGGACCATCCTACTCGCCCGATCAATGCCCAGTCGAAGTCGACGCCCCTGCACCCGAACCTCTGTCATCCTTATTCGGAAACTTGAAGCTAATCGGTCCTACGGGCGGCTTGAGTTCCTCCCCGCCACTCAGCAACCCATCCGAACTGATCGGATCAAACGCCCCCCACGCATTGCCGAATCCAAACAAACTCGCATCAAATTGCGCGGCGGATTGGTCGTTCGCGATCTGGTTGAATAGGTCGTTCGTCGAGGTCGTCATGGCTTGATCGACTAGATTCAATGCGGTTGATTCGAGTTGGTCCAAGGGGATCCCGTTTGCCACTAGCATATCGGCGACTTCTTGAGGGAGACTCGCGACGGAGGCTTCGCGACTCATGGAAGGGTATCGGACCCCACCGCCACCCATGGACGTGATGGAATCACGATGCACCGTCAAGAGGGGACTATCCGCGCGTGAGAGATACGCAGGTGTTGCACTCGCACTCGGAGGACCATTACTGGCGAAGCCACCCAACCACGTCCCCGTCGACGGTCCGGGCGTAGGCATCGTCGCAGGTGCCGGACTGCCGACAACGCTCGCACTCCCCGCCCGACCAAGCTTAAGCTTGATCCCACTCGCCGCTGGAGTGGACGCCCCTCCCGTCCCTCCTACCGATCCTATCCCCCCCACCGTCCCACTTCCGAGACCCTCGTCGTCTCGAACGGGTAGGCGTTGATCGTGCCTTCGCACGGGCCAGTCGACATTCAAAGCGATGATCGACGTTTGTCCAACGTACTCGTAATCGAGAGCCTCCCCCTTGGGGCCCAAAGGACCAGGGGGCCCGATGCGCGTAAGTCGAGAGTAGATGGCGAGGTTGTTGTTCGTTTCGCTCGGTTTGAAGAGTTGATCCTTAGCGCGAGCGAGCGTCGTCGGCACACGGGGGTGAGGAACAGGAGCAGCAAGATGAGTACCGGCCGCACCTTGGTGGTAGGGGACCGGAACGGTAGCCGTATGGGGTAGAGCGGTGTTGAAAGGATGGATCGCTGCTGTTGTGGCCGTCTCGGGCAAATATCCTGGCGGCCGAATCGGTTGTCGTGTCCAGGGCATCGGCAAGAGTCCAAACAGCGAGTCCACGCCGGCGATGGAAAGATCGGGGTGCAGACCAATAACGGCTGCCGCCCTTCGCCGATCGAGATTGGGTCGTCGATAGGTGGGCATGTGAGAGATCTCGGGTAGGGCCGTGCGGTACGCATCGAGCGAATCGAGCGCTGACGGAAGCGGCGAGACGGCTCGACGTCGTCGTTTTGTCGGCCGAGGGAGTAGAGGCTCGTCCTCTTCCATCGTAGGCGAGAGCGGGTGTGGGGAAAGAGGGGGTAGGTGACTGATGGGGTGCATGTCGGACAGCATCGACGTGTTGTAAGGGATGGGGGCGCTCCAGGGGTCGCCTCCTGCAGCGTACTGGGCGCCTCGAGGCCGACCGTCCCACGCCGAGTCTGCTTGTTCACGCCGGCTTCTCGCGGCCAACGGAGCTTCCCTCTGCCTCTCCATGCCCGGGAACGGTGGTAGAAAGTCGGGCACCCACGGCGGGATCAGCGACGGATCCCTCCAAGCAAGCGCTGGATCCTCGTCCACCGGTTCCTGCTCCTCCTCGGCGGCGGCGTACATTCCTCCCCTCCCCAACATGGGCAGATTGAGCATGTCAATCTCCTTTTCCAAATCAAAGGCCGGATCTTGATCCCACGCATCGAGAAAGAGCGAATGTCCGACGTCGGGCTCTTGCTTGACAAGGGTGAAGGAAGGGTTCGATCGATGGCCATTCTTGACGGGCGAAGTCGATGCCTTGACGCGCCGAGGTGAGATCTCGAGCTCCGAATCATCTGAAGGGGGCGAGTCGATTGAAGAAGGCATGAGATCGGGGAGATGGTGCAGGGTGTGTAGCTCGATCGGGTGCAACACGTCATACGCGAGCTGAGCGATCGGAGGCAGCGGCAGTCGCACATCGAGATGTTCTGCAGGAGCACAATCAGCGGGATCAGCCGCTGTCGTGTATTGGGTGGGTGTGAGGAGGTGACACGTGGAGTCGAGTCTGCGATGGGATGCGATGGGATGCGATGACCGGTGACCGACCTGCGAGCTCGTGCGCGACTTCGGGTATCCGCAACCCGCCATCCTCTGTAGGTGGTGATCCGGGCTTCATCGCCTCGTCCTTGAGTTCATAGATGGGTCCGACGCCGAACTCGTCGATCGTAGCCCCGATATCCCACACCGCGACCTTGTCCCTCCCGGCGAGCTCGGCGCGTGCCTTGGCCGAGCTCGCGAGCAGCCCCAGATAGTCCTGCAGCAGGTCCGAAAGGGTGTGGATCGGCAGGGAGCGAGCATGCGTGAAGGAAGGTGCGGCCTGGGCGACGAGTTGCAGTGTCGAGAGGTGTAGCAGCTGACGGGGGAGCTGGGAAGGGTCGAAGCGGTCCATCGCGCACACACACACGCCCGGCTTGGAGCTGCTGCTGCTCTTGAAGGTCGACACCACCACGTTACCCTCTTACACCTGTGGCTGCTTTGTACCAACCTTGAATGATTGGTTTTCAATGGTGGGTCGAAGCGACCGATCGCGTGCCAGAGCGAGAGGTTAGAGACTCGAGGCGCGGCTCCGTCCACTTCAAGCTTCAAGTCACGCCTGCCAGTCGCCTGCCTAGTCACGCCTAGTCATATAATATGAGCGCCCTATCGCGCCCAGCCTCTGCAGGTCGCAAGAGGAGGCGAGAGGTTACGCGCCCTCGAGCGCTTGCTATCAGGAAACAGCGCGTGAGCTTCCGCTAGCCTCAGCTAGCCTCGCCCCCTCGCCCGTCGATGTCCCATCCAGGCCAGCCCAGGCCCAGGCCGAAACTTTAGTGGCACTACTTACAGCTCGCCATACTTCTGAATCATTCTTCAAAGGAAATAACTGATGCAATAGCAGCGAAGGCACGTTGCGGAATCAGGAATCCCTATTTCGAAGCCTCAGAAGGCCTGCAGTGGTCGATTCGCGACTGGCGCGCTCGAGAAGGAGTTCTCACGAGTCAGCACTAGGGACCCCTTTCCTGACCACTCCAGATTTCCAGCTAGAGCGTTGACCGGGTTGTATATATAGGATGGCTATCCAGATGACTTCCGGAGGTAAGAATCGGGGTCCGCAGCGCCAGCATGCGCATAGCCGAGGGGCTTCCCCGTCGAAACCAGCCGAGAGCGCAAGGGGGTTGCGCGACAATTTCTTGAAACCTAGGGGAGTCGACGAAGAGCACAAAGAGACGTGCTGATCAGGATCTTCGCATATATGAGTCGCCGGGAGGGACACGAGATTCGCGCGAGAGAGAAAAAAAAGCAAAGAGAGACAAGAGACAAAGAGAGAAAAAAAAGGGGCCGCCTGCGCAAGGTCTCGGTCATGACTCATGGCATGGCATGACTTCCCTTCAATCCAAGGGACAGAGGAAGCTCTCTTGAATCTCATTGTAGCCATGAACTCTTCTGTACCACCTACCTGGCTTGAGCCTGCTGCTATTACTGCTGCAGCACTGCTTAACCCTGAGCTACTGGCATGAGGCCGGCACCCTGGATTTGCCTCTTTTCCTCCTGCCACTGTCTTCCCCTCGCATCTCGCATCTCGTGATAAACATGAACGGATCAACATCTGGCTCGACCGACGACTTGTTCAGCTTGGCCTTGAACTCCTATACGACTTCTTCTTTCGGCGCTGCAACCGCTGGCGATGCACCTCTTTCGGTACAACAACCTATCGACCGCGTGGTGGGGCTCGCGCCCGACTCTTCTTAGGCCCATTCGCGCCCTCAACTCAACCTCAAGCTCCACTCACTCTAGCTCAACAGCTCGAAATGACGAACATGATGGTGACGTTCCAGAAAATGGTGCCAGCGATGCAAAAGATGCAAACGATGTTTTCGTTCTTCGGATCCCAATCCGGGACTTCGAATACGACGCCTCGACTCGATCCTTCGACGTCGAGCCCCGCACCCACATCTGCATCTGCAATCGCCCCTTCAGCTTAGGTCAGTCCCGTCGATTCACGTTCGCCGTCTGCTGTCCCTTGTTCCGTGTCCCATTGCTGATCTCTCGGCTCTCGGTTTCGTAGACTGGACCCGCGGCAATGTGCCTTAGCCTTACGTTAACGACTGGTCAAATCCCTTCAAATCCGGCCTCGACTCTTTCCACATCCTCAATTCGTTTCTCGTCTATCCCTCGGCATCGAGCTCAACTCTTTCGCAATCGTCGAGTCGCGCCTCGACCACCCGTCATCCAGCTCCCGCCGCGTCAATGCCCGACCCGGCTCTCAACCGATCGACCTCGAGCAACGCAAGGACGTCGCGATCATCTCCGGTACATGCGAATGATCGCAATGGGGGTGGGCTCTTGACACCAGAGGCACCCTCGGCGCGTGGCCGGCTGAGTGGCGCTCAGCTAGGGCTCAAGAAATCCGCTTCGCACGCCCCCTCCCCTGCCAAAGCGATGCAATTGATGCCCACTAGCAAGGAGGAGAGCAGGAAGGGCAAGGGCGTGCAAAGATTCGCAAGTGGGGAGCAAGCAGAAGAAGAGGAAGACTGGGGGAAGAGCGCCAGCGTTGATCGGCCGGGACGACGACGACGACGAAGCGAGCGAGGATGATTCACCTTCGTCGGGACTTTTGGACTCAAGTGCGGAGAGGCGCCAGGTTCAGGACATCCTTGCGGGGAAGCAAAGGATTCAGGAGGATTATCCAGGATCCGAAGAGGGATCAGAGGGTAATACGTTACCTCCGCCGCCGAACTTTGGTCCGAAGCGACAGCCAAGGTAAGTGATTGAGCAGCTGATGCAATCACTTGCCGACTCGAGGGAACATGCTACCGCTAGCTCTTCGACCGAAACTCCAGAAGATCACACTCGCCTTGCTACCCCCTTCGGAGATTTTTTCCCCTCGACGCTCGGAACGAACCTCTCGTCCCCCGCGGCCACGAGACTAACCATGCGTTGTCGTAGATTAGCGAGTTCGGGCTGCGACGATAGACATGAATTTGTAACATGTACCAAATCTTGACTCTTGTGCGAGACAGAGACGATCGGCGCATCGGCGACACTGCGCGGCTGTCACTTTGTCACTCGGACAAGGTCCAGCTTGGACCATCAATTCCAGCCAGCGAGCGATAGGGTATGGTTTGAAAAGTTATCACATTGCAAGGTTCTCTTCCGACCATCGAACAGCCACCAGATACTTCTGCCGCGCCTCCACAATCTGAAGAGCTTGAACTCGGATCTCTTCGAACAGCGCTGTCGCTGTCTTGGCTTTTTCGTTCGTCGTCTACTTCCATTCCTAGGGCATGCTGATCGCCGTCTTGAAAGTGAATGAGAACAGGCGGCAGCTATCTCGGGCGTTGGAAGGGGGACCGACGGCGACGCAGACGTAGAGCGCTTTCGCGCTGTCGTCAACTCTTTTTTTTTTCGTTCGCGCGCAGTTAGTGTTGTGTGATTTTGATTTTTTTTCCCTTGCGCGCGCGCGCGATTCTCGTGTCCCCAAAGGCGCCTCATACGCATATGCCTACTACTGGGTTCGCACTGCAGACGAGGCGCCGAAACTGCTTGCCGGTGCATACGGGTGCATCGGTCTGCATCGATCTGCCCACTCGTGTATCAGTATTCCAGAGTGTCGATTAAGATCCTACCCCAGTAAGGAGTGATTCCTACTTTACCTCAGCCTGCTCCGAAAAGTGTTTGGCCGCTCACTTGCCCTTCAATCGACTCACTGGCCCCTTGCGTGTTCCTGCCAGCTCTCCCACCGGTGTTCTCATTCCGTCTCGTCCTATACCGCCTGATGTCCCTCGTAGATTATGGTCCTCACCCTACCACTTCTCCGCCTCCAGATCGACGCAGTGCACTCGGCAGCGGGAGAAGGAAGCAGGTTTCACACCGAAGCAGGTCGCGGGAGGTTGATTCGATCCGAGCTGCACGAGAGTGCATAGCTGTGCAATGATCTGCAGATACGTTTGACCGAGAGAGGGACGAGCAAACCTGGTTATCCACTGATGTGCCCGCGTATGCAGATGTATGCGGGGGCGACAGAGGTAGGGAGGCTGTCAGCGACAGCGATTCGTCCCGGTTTCGCACCGAGTGGGGGAGTAGTGGGGGTGGGGGCTTCAAAAGTCCAGAGTGAAACATCGACGTCCTTGCTGAACGAAGCAAGGGGTCGGTGGGATCTTCCACTGAATGGGTTCATAGGATCGAGGATGCAATGGCGTAGATGTTGGAGCTCAGTGATCGCTTTGATCCATGTTCCCTTGGGTCGATAACTCGAATACAACTAACTACCCGATGGCCTGGTATGGGCCAGCGCCGGGCCCGGCGGTATGAGTCTGGGAAGAGCATACCTTTTACTCACCAAAGCGGCCACTTCATCCTGAAAGCGATTTTGGCGCGGGCGAAAACTGGCATAAAGGGCTCCTGCCGACGTTCCCCTGCGTGCATGTATGGGAGCGCGATCCGCAAGTCGGGTGGATAGATTAGCCGATCGTGGCGCAGTCCGGACTCCGGAAGCGCGGCGTTGGGATCTGCTCGCGACTCATTTGCCTCGGCTAGCCGGCACTTGGGATAGCTCGGGATCAAGCATTGCCTAGAAGTTAACCACCGGCTTCTGTCTTGGCGCTCTTGCCATCCTTTCATCACCACCTGGACGTCTCTTTTGCTTGCTCTTTCCGATCTTGCCTCGACTGCACACCTAACTGCTAGCTCGACTTGAACTCCCACGTCCCAACTCTCGAAATCATGTCGTCGCCTCAGCAACGTCTCGCCCAAGTCTCGGGAGCCATCTCGGGATCGTACCCTCGGGGTCTCTTGAAGGATGAGGTGGTCATCATCACCGGTGTAAGTAGTCCTCGTGCACCACAAGATCTGGATGACGGTATTGTAGTCTACGATATTCGTTGTCTCTCCGCGGCGCGGCAGAGCGATCACCGCTCGTCTACAACTGAAGTGCCGCGGCTCCACTCGGCACACAGCCCACAAGCGAGCCCTTCCCTCGAGGCACCATCGCTGACAGCTTGCGTTTTCTCCCTCCAGGCCGCCCAAGGTATCGGAAAAGCATGCGCCTTGACTTTTGCTCGTGAAGGTGCCAAGGTTGTCGTTTCGGATCTTGACGAGAGTCGGTCCACAGCCCACATCTCCGCGGCAACGACCGCTCCGCTGAAAAAAGCGACTGATCATCATCCCATCACACCCTCTACAGAGAAGGCACAGACCGTTGTTGACGAAATCAAGGCGTCTGGTGGAGATGCGATCGCCGTTGGGGGTGATGTCACTGCCGATGACTCTCCCAAAAGGCTCATCAAGGCCACGATCGAGTGAGTGCAGAGTCCTGTTCCACTCGGGAGATAGGACACGAGACCGTGTACGATGTACCTGACCTCTTGGACGACAACCCCTTCCCTCCTCAGTGCTTACGGCAAGATCAACCACATCGTCAACAACGCTGGCTTCACGTTCGACAAGATGCTCCACACCATGACCAACGACGCGTTTGAGCTGATCCTCAAGGTGCACCTCTCGGCCCCCTTCCGCATCGTCCGCGAGGCCGCCCCGTACTTGCGCACCAAGGACCCCAAGGTCATTGCGACCAACCGATCCATCGTCAACATCTCATCGATCGCCGGTCTCCACGGCAACGTCGGCCAGACCAACTACGCTACGGCCAAGTCCGGTATTCTTGGCTTCACCAAGACCGTTGCCAAGGAGTGGGGTATGTGATTCCTCTAGCCTCCTCGAACAGCTCACTCGTTTGCTGACAATCGCTCATCTTGCATAACCCCTCAGGTGCGTTTAACGTCCGCTGCAACGCCGTTGCCTTTGGCTACATTCTCTCGCGCTTGACCCGTGAGTCTAAAGACTCGATCTCAAGGCAGGACATGGAGTGCTGAACAGGGCTCGTTCCGCCACTTCTTTGCTGCAGAGGCCAAGGAACTCGGCGAGACGATCGAAGTCGCCGGACAAAAGATTGCCCTCGGTATCCCGACCGGCGGCAAGAAGCAAGAAGGGCCGGTTCCGGGGTGCGTCTGAATGAAGTCGATTTCCTAAAGAGAATTCGGCCCCTGACGACCTCCCTCCCTCCTCCTTTCTCAGCATCCCTCTCGGTCGACCCGGAACGGCCCAAGAGGCAGCGAACGGTGTCCTTTTCCTCGTCTCCCCCTTGGCCTCGTACGTCACAGGCCACACACTCGAGGTGAGTGTCCGAGTCCCCGACCACTCTCGTTCCAGTTCGTTCCACCCGTGCGCGGAACTGATGATGTGGCGGTTTGATGGCTTGTGTTCCAGGTCACCGCCGGTAACGGTATCTAGCGAGGATATCTACCCTTGCAAATCACTTCCTGTAAGAAAAATGTTCTGTAAAGCAACTGGCAGTATGAGGTTATACCGATCGAGCCGGAGTGGCCCTGCCCCGATAGGAGGCGATTTTCGCGATTTTCTTCTAGCCCGCAAAGAGAGTTATTCTGGCTGTCACAAGTGGAGGCCACTAGTGCTAGCCTCGATTACATCAAAGCTGGTTGGGGAAGAAGAACCTACTGCTGAGCTCGATATAAGTTGGGCTAAGCTGTAGCGGAGTATTTAGTCCGGCCCATTACCAGGGCGCGCTCACCCCGGCCCGCCAGATCGCCAGCCTGCAGCCTCAGAGAGCCTCAGAGCCCGCCAGCGGCAGTCTGCGGGCCAGTCGAGGGCAGTCCTGGCCAGTCGAGCAGAGACGAGCCGTTCAACGTTCAACCTCGACACTACTCGCGGCGCGCCTTCGAATCGCCCTTTATCTTTAGTACAGGCGCTCCCACAAAGGCCCCCAAGAGGCGACCACCCGCATGTTGGCGATGTTGGTGCACGTTGGAGCCTGAGCGAGACCCCAATCAGCTGCGTATCGCGGCCAACATTGAGCACAACCACCGTCACGGTCCTTCCTCTGCAGCGCTTCGTTCGCCGATCAGTGCCCCCCATCACGCTCATATCAAAACCAACACCAGTTATTAGTACCCCGATCGCTCGCTCGCGCGCCCGCTCCCGCCCGGCCCGGCCGCCGCGCAGTGGCCGACGAACCAAGCGCACTCGTCGCTCGAGCGCGGCCCCTCCACTTGAGGACGACCCACGGCTACGACCACCGCACCTTGTCGGATTGGGCTTGTTTGTACAGATTAGCATACCATACACGCCCGCTTACCTTACCGCCGTACCCTACCTCTTGATACCTCCCGAGCGACGCGGCCGCTACATTTGAGCTGATCTCGTCGCGTGTGCCTGCGAACGCTTGTGACCCACCCCGCGCTTGGTGCCCGGGCTGGCGACTGCTGTTGAACGACAACAAGCCACCACGACGCAGCGGAGTGTACACCACCCCATCCAGCAATGGCAAGGACCGAGCATGATCTAGGCGTCGCTCTGGACGGTTCGTTCGTCGAAACCACCTCGCGATCGGCTGCGCAGGCTTTAGCACAACACTACGCGAGCCAGGACGGAGGACAGACCGTCTATTACGTCCAGGCACGCGTCGAACCGAATGGCAAGACCGTTTACCGTATCCGGTCAGTTGAGAACACGAACGCACAGTCGAACAGTCGAATGGGCCACTGCGGGCATCATCACACTACCCCACGTCGACGTTCGCCGAGGTGGTCGCCACAGGGCACGGACTGACTCTAGATTGTCTCACGTGCCGGGACCTTTACTAGACCACGATCCCAGCCTACGCCGGCTCTTGCATCGACCTCGGAAGCAAGTAGCGGCTCTGCAACAGCTTCAACCTCCCAAGTCCCTGCAAAATGCTCCGCTTCCTCCGAAGCACCAGCCCCAACGATCGCCCTTCATACCCCATCGCCTCGCAAGCCCACACCTCGCTCCGGCTTTCCACAGCGACCGGAACGGTACCCACGACAAACCGCATCGGACAACGAAGGTCTCTCGCCCTATTTCAAGTCCTCCACCGTCACGGCTCTCCAGCGCTCGGGCAGTCAACCAACCCTCGGCGCCGCACGATCGCAAAGTCACGACGGCTTAAAGTCCACGACGACTCGAACTGCATCGCGGGATCAGAGCGATGTACTGGGGAGGATACTGGGATGGAGCACGAGCGGCACGGCTCATCTTGGGTTCACCCCTGGGACCGAGACGAGGTCCAACGTGAATGACGAGGACAAGAGTGATCTGCCGCAAGATTGTAAGTGGAGAAGCGCGCTTGGCATCTCACGGCATGGGGCATGTCAGCTTAGCGATTTGATTCGTTGTCGTGCATGGCTTGTCCCAGTAGTCGATGAACTTGAAGGCCGTGCACCACTAGCGACGCCGCGATACCGAGAGCCAACTCCGTCTTCGGGCACCCCTTTCGGCGCCGGCGTGCGACTGGCCGAAGGTTCGCTCCATCCTCGAAGCCCAGCATCTGATACCGCCTCGCCTCTCCCTGTTCTTCTCCTTGCCGACCCGCCTCGGCGCCGCGAGATGCGAGAAGTGGCTTCGAGTGATTCGATTCGAACCGCCAAAGCCGTGGACGACCGGCTCCCATTGCCTTCACCGCATCAGTCGCGCTACAAGGACTGGACGGCCTACGATCTGCTTCAGAATTTAGATACCCTCGACCCTTATTCACTGCCCCGAGAACCAATCTTCCGGTTTGGTCGTCACCCTGCCGCCTCGTCGGCCTCTGTAGGCTCCTCGGCCTTGGACATCTCGAGAACGACGGGGCAAGATATCACGGTGCTCTCGACTCCCGGAGATGATCCGCGCTTCGTTATTTGGGGAGTCAAAGATCGAAGAGGGCATGCACGAGTCGCGTCCAAGCCGTCTGAAGACAGTCGGGTCAATGTTGCAAGTTCCGACGGGGGTCAACGCCGAGGTAGCATTGCTCCCGCGCCGCCCGTCGCGAGCCCCGTCATGAGCAGCCCTGCTACAGCCTCGTCGTCGAGTCGGTGGAGCCTCAGTCAACCCCACCACCAGAGCGAGTCGCCCGGCACCTCGGTTCGAGACTCATTCGGCTCACAGTCCTCGATTCAATCCCCTCTCTCGTCGTCCATGACGGGCCGCTCGCCCGAGCGCGTGCGCGTGCTCATGGCCGCGACTGTCGAACGCCTCGTCGCCGAACTGACGAGCAAGATCGAGGTCGAACTGCTGGCCAGCTTCTTCCTCACTTACCGCACATTCCTTCAACCCGTTCACCTTCTTCAAGCCTTTACTACTCGTTTTGATTGGGCGATGCAACCGCCCTCATCGCCCGCTGACGATGCAGCACGACGAATTGTTCGCGTACGCACCTTTGTCGTCATTCGCTATTGGCTCCTGAACCACTTTGTGCTCGATTTCTACCCCGATCGAGAATTGAGAACGACGTTGACGGAGTGGCTCAATAAAAGGGGTCGAGACGAAGCGATCAGGAACAATCCGAAAGATCAACGTTTGATCAAAGGACTCAAGAAGCTCGTGCGACGGCTCAAGGACATGCACGCCGTACTTGGGCCGACAGACACGATTGAAGCTCGCGCCGCGATCGCTAGACAATCGACTGACCTGCCACCCATGCCCAAGTCGCCCGCCCTGTCAGATGAAGATGTTGATCTCGATGTCGTCCCCGCCATAGGGTCTGGCCCAACCGCTCCCAAGGAGTTCGGAGGAGCGCCTCGTGATCGATCTCGGTTGCCCACCTCCTCGGCCAAGGACAAGCTCACGACGAGACCGACATCGGTGATCCCTCTACCTGGAGGGCAATCTGCCGTAGCACGATCCATCAACAATGCCTTGGGGACGATCGGCCGCTTCAAGCGCATGCTCGGCAATCGTGCCCATGCTGCCCAAGCCTCATCCAGTTCCTCGAATCCATCGGCGAGCGCAGAGGCGGTCGAGGCGGTCGAGGCGGTCGAATACGAGCAGCATGACACAGGTGATCTGTTGTGGATCAAGGACGGCCTAGATCGGTACCTTGATTTTCACAACATACCCCGCGACGTCGCTGATCCAGAGGATACATCAAGTGCAGAGGTGCAACCGCAGCATGTCGAGGCGGGCTCGTTACAGCCGGTCGCAGAGCTCGAAGGTGTTCAGCTCGATGCTTCAGAGTCGGATCAAGCACCTTCGATCACCGCATCTCACGAATCGCTACCCCTCGAAAGCGCACCCGCGACCCACGTCATCGGTTGCGCAGGACCTGACGAATCTGCATCTCAGGGTCGCTGGCCGAGTTCAGTCTCTTCGACCGATCCGGACTTTCCTCACAAACCAAATACCCTTTTCTTCCCACCTTCGTCGATTCCGATCCTTAAACCTGCTTCCTACAACGAGTACGACTCCTCTCGATCCGGTTGTCTCGAACTCGACGATGTCGATCTGTCAGATGAGGATGACGATGTCGTCGAAGTCAAGAGGACGCTCAAACGGTTGCCCGGAGCGGCGAATCTGCGCCTCGCTACGAGTGTACCTCGAGAACCGACCGCCCACCATCGTTTGTCGACTGAGACGGTCTCTTCGTATGGCTCACCATGCCGACCCTCGTTCGAGGGCCACGATCGAGAATCGACGATGGTCTCGTGGGTCGATGACGAAGTCAGTGGTGCTGAACCAGGGGTTTTGCCTGGCCTCGAAGGTTTTTTGCTCGATGGTTTAGTCGAGTCGGACGAGGAGGAACCTGGGGATATCGAAGCCGCTCTGAGACGACTGGAAGGTATCGTCGACGATTCCCGCGAGCGCAAGAAGGCGGAAAGGGTCGAGGAACAGATGGTCAAAAGCGAGCGGAAGAAGCAAGGTCTACCCTGGCTCGCGACTGCAAGTCAGGACGGGGCGTCCGCCAACGGGGAAGCTCGCGACTCTGTTTCGACGTCAGCTTCCCTTTCGGTGTCGGTCGAGCAGCCGGTGTCTCCGACCCCAACTAATCTCGAAGCTTATCGCGAGATTGCTATTGTGGCTCCGTCAGATGTGGTATCTCTCAATTCCTCGAACCCTTCACAACCGTCTGACGATCATCCCGTAGCGGCCAGCCCTAATCACACCGTATCACGCCAACTCCGTGCTGTGCCGCGCAAAGCTTCGATCGGCAATCTTCTGGGCAGGACTCCTGCTCGTGCCTCGACCCGTGCTGCTGCTGGTCCCCGTGGTCCCCAAGCCTCCGCAGGACCTGCACCGCCACGACATCGTTCGTTCCTGTTGCACTGCCGCACCGAAGTAATTGCCCAGCAATTCTACCTCATCGAACGCGACATGCTCCGAGTACTCGCTTGGCCCGAATTGGTTAGTGGGGCTTGGCGAGATCGCTCGCAGCCTCAAATCGAGGTGCTGGACTGGGAGGCGCATCTGAAGGAACGTCGTCGGGTTGAGATACTCGCCAAGGAGAGTGGGGATAGTAAATCGCCTTCGGCGGTACAAGCCATGATCGCTAGGTTCAACCTGACTGCTAATTGGGTCGCTTCCGAGGTACGTTCAATTCGATTCGAGCGATTCGCAGAGCTGTGCTCATTCCCAATTCTCTCATTCTACAGATTTTACTCACGGCCAACCCAGACGAGCGAGTCGCGCTCATCGCCAAATTCATCCGACTCGCCTTCAAGTGCTACTGCCAGTCAAACTTTCAAACCCTAACCCAGATCATCCATGGGCTGCAGCTGCACGAAGTCGAGCGACTCAAGAAAACGTGGGCTCGCGTGCCCTCGTGGGAGATGCGCAAGTTCCGCGGCATGCAAGTCTTTGTTTCGCACCTCAAGAACTTCAAGCACTTGCGCGAAGTGACCAAAGCGCTCATATCCGAGTATGGTCCCCCTGGTCAACGGAGACCCTTGTCGGCCAACGATCCTTACCGAAGCGTCAAAGGCACCAAGGGCGCCCCTGTGCCTCTCGGGTGTATCCCTTTCCTCGGTGAGTCGTTGGTCATTGGTCATGGTGCTCGGGATCTCTGAAAGGGACTGACATGGGCCTGTTTGGGTACAGGCCTCTTCCTTCGCGACTTGACGATGAACGCCGAACTGCCCACTTTCCTCGACCCGTCCTCGACCGATACACCTGCTGAAGTCGATGCCGAAGGGACGCTGGTCTCGCTCGCCGACCCGAACGCCTTCAACTCGCTTGCACCTCTCCCGCCCTCCTTACGCATGCGACCCCTGGTGAACGTGCACAAGTTCCGAGTGCAAGCGCGTATCGTTCAAGACGTGCTTGCGGCGATGGAGTTCGCCGAGGGTTACCCTTACGACCCCGATGCCCGTTGGTACCTCAAGTGCTTGAAGCTTCGGGCTTTGTCGTCCGATGTGATGTGCGAACTGTCGCGTCGACTCGAGCCCTGAGCTGCACGGCGGAATCGAGTTCGAGCTTGAGCTTGTGCTTCTGAGCTTGATCAAGCTTCGGGACGATACCGCTCCCTTTCCCGTCTGTACAACATTGTCCGTCTTTTTGCATTCAGTCTTGAAGTATGTACGTATAACTACGCTCTTGGTTTGTGCATATGTTCGGCTCCTGCTTCTTTTGTTGCTTGGTTTGTAGCAGCACGTTTTTCACCCGTTTCACACGGGTGGCGCGGTCGTGACGCGTTCGTTTCTCCCACAAACACTAGCTTCGTTCGTTCGTTTAATTCTGACGCCTGTGATGAACTGTAGGGCCACTCTCCTTGGATTTCCTGGGCTACTTGTTAATGATGTTGGAGGCGAAGGCAACGAGTCGAGAACATACATGATTCTGATGAGAGAGGAGCTTGAACAGCGGATATGTGCGGTTCTCGCGCACGTCCGTTTCGTCTTGAAACAGCCTCCCCTGTCTGACATTTCCCGCGCCAGCGGGTAGGGAATTGACGATCCCTTTTCCTTTCGGCGAGATTCCCTTGGGGATTAATAAAATCGCTGGCAAACGTCGCTCCAATTTCAGCTGTTGCCCAGGCAGCCGAAGACCGCCTTATTTGCCCACCCACGTCGTCCTATTCCCACGCACTGCCACCTGCAGAGGGTCTATGAGTTACTTGAACGTGGCGATGGCCGTGCTTATAGGGCTAGGTGTGGTCGTAGTCGGTTCTCTCCTACTCTGTAGCATCATGTTCGTCACGACTAGGCACCAGTCGGCGATCGATCGTCGCCTCGTGGCCGTTGAGAACGGTCTGTCCGTCCATAGCCACTTATCCTCTGTACGTTCCTTGGCGTGTGGGCCTGAGCGTGATTTGCCTCCCTCTGACCTCCACCCTCCCCATCATCCATTATCGAAATAAACCCTTCATTTCATCATCCAACTCAGGACGACCCCTCTGGCCCAACACCGCCTCACCTGCGACCGCGCGTCGACAACATGGATGCCGCCCCTGAGGTGGACGCCCCATCGTCGACCCCTTATCGCCAAGCCGAGCCCGAACATCCTTTCCAGCCTCAACTCCCTTCCGAATACCTCTTCGCCCGTTCCCGACTTACAACGGCCGCCAAGAAGAGGAAGAAGCGCAAGACACCGGCGCAGAAGAAGGCCGCCGCCGCCGCTCGTGAACAGGAGCAACAGCACGACAAGGCCGCCTCCGCACCCCATGTACTCAAGATTTCGAGGAATAAGCACATGAAGGTGAGGCTGCATTGCTAATGGCGTTGGGAAGGGGTCGTGTTGAGCTGTCGTTCTGGCCGGGGTCGTGGTCGAGGTCGTGTGCGCGCGGACCTACTGTCCGGAGATCAGCTGGGGCTGACTCTTTCTTGACGCGATCATCGCCTGATCTGCACACCAACAGTACATCTCGTCTTACCATGTGGGTTCTACCATTCTGCTGCGTGCGTGTCCTCTGCCCAGACCAGAAACTGAGACTCGTCTCGGGGACACCCTCACCTCATTTTCACAGGGGCCCTGGTTACAGCTTCCCCACGAGGTACTCGACACCCTCCTGACCGTGAACTGCGACGAATCCGCACTCCCGACCGTTCGTGGCCTTGTCGAACCCCCTTCATCGACCCCGACGATGGACCGAGCTCGATTCCATGCGATCGCTGCCGGCCCCCATGAACGTCGTCGCTCCCCTTCACCTTCGCCAATACCCCAGATGAACCGAGGCGGTGAAAAAGCAGCGGGCAACTCCCATCTTCCTTCTCCAATAGATCCAGCTGTCTTTCGAGGGGTCTCACAAATTCGCAAGCTCGTCGACGACGCTTCCGATCTAGCCGTTCGCGCTGCAGTTGGCATGTCCGCCGCTGCGCTAGGCTCGTTCGGTTCGGGGGGTGGTGCACCACCTTTATCCGCCTGTCCGGAAGGAGGCGGTCGGAATGCGGGCATGTCGGCTGTACGACAACATCGTTTGAGAGCATTGGCCGTGTCCAAGTTGGCGGAGGCTTATCGAATCGACGAGATCGCGGCTGCGGTCGCGGTCATGCAAGGCGCGACGGGACTGGATGATCTGGCCCAACGGGTGCTCAAACAAGAACCTGATCACCTCGATGCGCTTTACGTACATTTTCATCACGAGAAGATCCCTTCTCGCACACTCGCCAGTTCGACGGATACGACCCAGTTGGATCACCTGATCGCTTGTGACCCACATCGACTGGAATACTATCGCACTCGAGGGGTCGTACATGGCTTCAAGCAGGATTACGTCTCGGCCGTGCGTAACTTTACTCAAGCTTTGACGGAGGCCAAGGCGATAAGGAAGGAGAAGGAACATCGTGCTGAGGTGCAGGTTGGAGGGGGGAATTTGAAGAAGAAGAAGGGAGGCAAGAATGGGAAAATGGGGGGGAAGAAGGGCAAAACTTCGCCTGCTCCGACAGGGGACGGGAATGAGGCGGATATGGCTCCAATATTGGGACCGAATGGAAATGCTGCAGCGACGGCTCCGACATCGGATCCTTCGTCGACGGTGGGTAAGGAACCGGGCGACGACCTCGAGCGACAAATGTATTTCCATCGAGCGATGGCTCACTTCCACCATGCGTGTCGGTTGATGGAGGACGCCGCTTTGGACGTTGAAGGCGTGCAGAAACCCAAAGGAGGGCTCTCGAACGAAGGCGGTGAATTGACCCTTCGTAACGTCGGCATCGTACTCGCGGATGAGATTGGTGGTTTGTACGGCAACGCCTCGCCGGAGAAACAGGCGCGATATCGTGTTGGGATGGGGGAGCCATCCTTGCGCGAACGCGTGATGACCCTTTTGCGCAAGAGTGTGCGCGATCACGAGCGGTTCTTGGCTTACTTCAAGGTGTGGGAAGCACCGCCCGGCAACGCGTTGGAGGAAGAAGATCGACAACGACCTACTCTAGGCGCGAAACAGACCGATCGACCGTTGACCTTCCGTGGTCGAAGGTTGATCCACCATCGTGCCTTGGCCCAACGCACCAGGGACGCCGATCCTCGTCGTCTTGAACGACAACGTCGTCATCAAGATGCGCCCATGCCTGCCCCAACCCTATTGACGACCTATCATCCTTTGATCATCGAATCCCACTTCACCGTCCTCTTGATCCACCTCCTGTTGGGCGACTTCAAAACCCTAGTCCAAGCCCACGCTCGCACCGTACGATTGATGGACCATCTCGAAGGATACCCCGTCTTCCTCCCCGCGCGTTCGCTGACCATGTCCGAATACGCCGAAGTACTCGAACGTCTTTCAGCGACGTGGAGAATCGCTCGCGAGAGTTCGGGAATCGCAGCACCGGATTTGGATGTGACGGAAGTGGAGTTGGCGCGTGGGGAAGACGAATTGGCTTGTTTGCATCAGGTGTGTGGGTTCTTCTCGACGGAATTTGTGGAGGCGCTCGTGAGGCAGGCGGAGAGGGAGAGACAGGCTTTCGTGGCGAAGAAAGAGGGGGCGGTGGGGGAGAGGAGGAAGCTGTTGGGGTTGGAGAATGGCCTGGGGATGGGTAAGGCGAAGGAGATTACGTATGGGGAGGAGGAGGAGGAGGAGGAGGCCAAGGGGCAGGGGAACACGACGGGGAGTTGGAAGGAGGAGAGGGATAAGGCTGATGCGGAGAGGAGGAAGATCGATCCTTCTTGTGAGTGACGGGCTGGGGTCGTAGTTCCTTAGATGAAGTAGATTCCTTTCATGCTGATAGGATCCCGTGTTCCCCAGATGCGACCTACAATACCGCCCGCGCCGAAGTCGCTCTCGCATGGCTACAAGCCGTCATACTCCCCGAAAAGGAAGCCGAACAACTCGCCAAAACCCACGTACAGTTCCCCAACCCAACCACTTCCCACCACGACGATGCCCATACACCACTCGGAGCTACGAATTCCATAGGCAAAGGAAAAGGAAAAGGAAAAGGAAAAGCTGTTTCTGCTGCTTCATCTTCTTATGCTTCGGCTTCGGCTTTCACACAGCAGCATGAGGCGTTCTTCGGTTCGGGATCGGGGTCATTTTCGAATTCGAGTTTCTTTGCGGGCTCGGGGTCGGGTTCGACTTCGGGGTTGACGATGGCGGAGGCTGCAGAAGCGGGGGGGATCGAAGACGGGGGAGGTGTGGTAGTGGAGGAAGAAGGGGTGGGATCAGGATCTGTTTTGGAGGACTTGGGGGAAGAGGAATGAGTCGTCGGATCATCTTGGTAGAATCCTTTGGCTTAGTGGATGGAAGGAATATCATTATCGTACCCAATTATCGCGAAAAGGTGACCCCATGCCCACGAAGGTACAACGACACGCAAAGCAAGGAGAGAGATGACAGGGATCGATAGTTTGCAAAAAGGGTTCGCGCAAGGGTGGTACAAGTGACAAAGGCCAAAAGAGGATACGTAAAGCAACGAAGGGATGCAAGAAATGTCCGAAAAGGATGCAAACTGGAACGACAAACGACGATCCAACGTCCAATCAGTCGATGGTGATGACCTCGATAGGCTGCTTGCTCTTGGATTTGGGCGCCTTGGTCTCGTCGAGTTCGATCGTTTCGATCGGTTTGGGGCGTGCGTGTTTCTCTGCGGATGAGTGAATGTAGCTCGTTCGTGTGAGTCGTGGTGCTTGAGTACACTTTCGATGATTGCCTTGGAAAGTGTGAAGCTTACTGGTCCATTCCCGAGCGGTCTTGTCATGCCCTTTCCGATCCTTGAGGAAGCGCTGCGCGATCTGTACGTCAAAACAACGAGCGTCAGACGGCGACCATAATTGCGCTACGAATACGGTGTGAGACCTACCTCGGGCATCAAAGGATCGTCTAAAAAATTGAATGGAACAGGGAACGATGTCAAAAGGCATGTTTGGGCACACGATATGGGGTAGGGACTGACGTGGGTTCGGGTCCGCCAGAAGGGACGACACGGAGAGAAGTACCTTGATGATGGATCTGAGAGAAGGTATTTTTGTGTGAGAGTCAGCGATACGACGTTGAAAAGGCAATTCTGAGGCTTGGGATAACGCACAAAGCTGGTGACCATTGGTTCTTGAGGATATCGACTGTGAGCAGATGTAGATTCGACGCTCAGTCCTCGCTAAGGGTCAAATCGACGAAAGACTCCGAAGCTACTGACGGCACTGTGTGGAGGTTCAAGAACGTGTCAGCTTTGGGTTCAGTCAAAACAATTAGATTGCTTTCTGTGCGTCTACTCACAATTCCTCCCTGGGTATTGATGTTGGCGTGGTAGACCTTTGTGAGGAAGGTGACCCTCGGCGGACGGAACGGGTAGTCCGGCGGCAGGACGATGGACAGGTCAAAGATGCCTCCTTCGTAGGCCTGTAGGGTAGGGATGGGTTGGATCAGTACGTTGGTCGCTGGGTGATGGGTCGATGCGACGTACGGATCCGGGCTAAAGGAGAGGAGAAAGGGGTGCTTCGTCGGGTGTCAGTGCCGAACAAGGGCAGAGCGGGAGTTGTAGAGTACTGTTGAACTGACCGGTCCTTCTGTTGAACGGATCAGCACGTGGGTTGGAGCAGGGGCAGGGGGTCAGTTGCTTGACAGTGCTTGACTCGGCGAGGCGCCTCGGTGGCCGGTTCAGAAGGGTTTAAAAGGGTCTTACCAATCGTGGCTTCCCACTCGTGCACCGACCGATCCGACACCGGTCCAGCGCTGTGCAGACCATCGGAACCTGCGGTCAGCCAAGATGGAATGAGAGAGGCCATGTGTCCGGGTTGGTGCCGACTGACGTGCAGCCCTGGGGGAGCTCGGACTTGTTGGCGACGTCGTGCAGCTCGCGCGCGATGCGCTTCTGCGACATGGCCGACGACTTGGACATGGCGGGTGGGGGGTGGAGGCGGAGACGGTCGGTGTAGCTGAGGTGGAGGAGCGAGATGAGTGCGCGAGATCGGTGGGCGGTAACAAGTGGGAGCGAGTGGCGTCGACGGCTTGCTGTGCGTGTGCGTGTGCGTGTGCGTGTGCGTGTGCGTGTGCGTGTGCGTGTGCGTGTGCCGGTGGTGGTGTGTCGCGTGAGCGGGTGCAGTGCAGTGCAGAGCAGAGGTTCGGCGTCAGCGCGTCAGCTCAGAGGTGGGCGGCGTGTGCACCAATCGATCCCGAGGGCCTGGCTTGAGGACGGTGCTCGATGGACCTGAGCCGGAGCCTGAGCTAGAAGCGGGCTGGCGAGTGGTCGTCGATCGTAGGAGGTGTTGGGCAGAGTGGACGATGTACAGCAAGCAGTACAACAAGCTCGACCGCGTAACCGCGCTCAGCTCGCTCACCGCTGCTCACCCTCGCTCACCTCGGCCGAGCGCGACCGAGCGCGACCGTTCTCGGCTTCGATTGGGGCAGATTGCTAACAACGGCCGAGTTGGCGTTGCCGGAACTATTACTATTACCGATTGGGGCCGGCCGCGCGGGCAAAGTCGAGATGCGACCGCTCAGAGGCCGCTCTCCTCGTCCTTGTAGGCTCACATCGGCGGCTTGTACAGCGTGTCACAACACCCGACTCCTCCGTTGGGACTCACACCTACCATCCCTCACCAGAGAGGGTTCGTAATCTGGCCCAGGATCGTCAGCTGGGTCGCAAGCACCGGTCGCACCGATCGCGTTCACGCGCAGTCGGATCGCGGCGCCGCCCCCGCCCCCCCCCACCTTCTGTCCTTGGTCGGGCTGCACCGGCTCTGCTGCAGGCTAGGCCGCGCGAAGAGTCACTCGGGGCTCGGAGAGACGGATCAGCGTGGGGTCAGTACCGAGTAGCGGGTCTGATGTGTAGTAGTGGTACACCCACCCGCCCAGCCTCAGCCTCGGGTTTCAGGTTCACTCGCACTGAAGCGATCGCTCCTGCCCCGACTGAGCGACCATAACTTTCCTCTGACATCCACACACTCTCTCTCTTCATCCACAGTTAGTGGATCCGAGCTCGTAACATTACTGCACACGTCGCTAGGAGACTGGGGAGCCCGGCCGGGGAAGGGACTTGAAACTTGAACCGTGTGACTGTGCCCGCTCACTCGTAGACCAGCGTGACCACCATGACGAAATGGAACGACCTCGACGACGATGACTGGCAGGACATGCCCGTCATTCACTCGACCGGCACAAGTCTGTCCCCCCTACGCCATCGCGACGACTATGACGACGACGTTCGTGCGCCCCATCGCCGCAATGCGCAGTGGAGCCATCATCGCATCTCACCGACCACGGTCCAACGCCATGACTCGTGGATCGCACCATCCTCGTCGTCGTCTGCTTCGGCGTCTTCTTCCCATCATACCAATGGCGCAGGTCCGTCGGCTTCAGCTTCGACCGCGTCCATGATCGCAGGTGGCGCGGGAGGGGGCAACGCGACCGGTAAGCTCATCGACGTCGACAGCGGCGGACAGGCGTGGAAGGAGAAGGAGCAACTCGACGAGATGGACTACACCCGTCTCGAACTCGACGACGATCCCGACGAGGATGAAATCTCGATGCGCACCCAATACCTCTTCAACCAGGATAAAGGCATGACACCTCTGTCGCAGATGCAAACGACAAAGACCTTGCTCACCGAGGGGCAGAGGATCGCTTACGTCGGGTTGTGTCGCCTCGTCGCGCGCGAGATGGTACAGACCCTCGTGCTTGCTTCCAAGGGCGCACCCGAACTTGCACCTGCGAGGGAGAGTTGCAAGACCTGGTCCAACAAAATTATGGGAAGGCTGTATCGCCACATGGAGGTCGATGGTGCTGGTCAGTCTGCCAACAAGCTAAAAATTTGAGCCCTCATTCCCTCGTACTTATCCTGGTTCCGCACGGACAGAACAACGCATGATCGAACAACTTGCCGAACATGGCGTGACCGCCGAGGATCTCACGCCATCCCTCATGTCGACCTATACCGTCACCAACCCTGAATACGATCCCGAGGCCGCTCAGGCCGAGGAGGAGAAACTCGAAGAGCAACGACGAGAGCACGAAGCGGAGCAAGAGGAGGAGCGAAAAAAGGCGCAGGAGGAAGAGACACGGCGGAAGAAAGAGGAAGAAGCGAGACGGAAAGCTCAAGAAGAGGAACAGGCCGAAGCTGAGCGGATAGAGATCGAAGCCGAGGCGACACGGCAGGAGCACCTCCGGGTCGAACGTGAAGGCAGAGTCGCGCGCGAGGTGGCCAAACTCGAACGACGGGCCAGTCTTGCTCGGATGGATCCGCTAGCGTTCGCTGAGGAGTTTGGATCCCCTGCTTCCTCGCCCACACGCATTTCGCGGTCGTCGTCGGCCCATTCACTTCGATCTCTTGGGTCTCCCAAAGGGTTCTCGCCTCGATTTTCGCCTCCAGGCTCGCCATCGAGTCGACAGAGAGCCCTTGACGGCGCCGAGGGTGATATTGGAGGAGCTTTGGACAGTCCGACGACACGGAGTCGTACGACAACAGCAGATAGCGAAGTGAACGATGCGCCTTCCACGTCGTCGCCACCCCCGCCGAATCTGCCTTCACAAACCGTCGCCGCCGGTGCACCAGCTATCGCCCTCGTTGCACCCGACGAAAACGAAGCCGTTCCGATAGAGGAACCGTCCTCACCATCACTCTCGATGCATCAACCCGACAACTTTCTGCAGCCGATGCCATCCTCCCTCCCCGGTGTGACGACCAAACTTTCGACCGCGGACAAGGAGATCACCCTCGATATCCGGTGGACGATCTTGTGCGACCTTTTCCTGTCCTTGATTGCCGACTCGGTCTATGATGCGAGGTCACGCGTCCTTTTGTGCATGATCGCCGACAAGCTCGGGTTGGAATGGATCGACGTCGTTCGGTTCGAGCGTCGACTCACCGAGGCGCTTGAGATTCAGGAGAACGTCAAGCAAAAGGAACATCTCGAGGTGTTGGAGGAACGAAGGGTCAAGGGGCAGAACAAGCGATACGTCATGATGGGATTGGCGACGCTTGGTGGTGGACTCGTCATTGGATTGTCGGCCGGTCTACTTGCGCCAGTCATTGGTGCCGGTCTAGGAGCAGCTTTAACGACGGTCGGAGTGTCCGGGACGACGGGCTTCCTCGCTGGCGCGGGTGGAGCAGCGATCATATCCTCGGGTGCGACCTTGACGGGTGCGACGATCGGAGGCAAAGCCATGGCCAAACGTACTCGCCACGTCAAGACGTTCGAGTTCCTCCCTTTGCACAACAACAAGCGCGTCAACTTCCTTATCACCATCCCGGGCTTCATGAATGGTCCACTCGATGACGTGCGCTTGCCGTTCAGTCCTCTTGATCCGTTGATGGGGGACGTGTTCTCCGTGTTATGGGAACCGGAGATGATGGGGGATACGGGGAATGCGTTGAAAATCTTGTCGACTGAGGTGCTGACTCAGGCGGGGCAGCAAGTCTTGGCCTTGACGGTGATGACGGCTTTGATGAGCGCGCTGCAGTGGCCCATGAGTGAGTGAGCTGGGACCTAGCTCGATCTATGTGCGCTTGCAGCTGATTAAGGATACTTGGTCTTTTTGCAGTGCTCACCAAACTGAGTTATCTCATCGACAACCCTTGGTCGAACGCTCTCGATCGCGCTCGCCAAGCCGGCGCTGTACTCGCCGACATCCTCATCAACCGACAACTCGGTGTGAGGCCCGTATCCCTCGTCGGCTTCTCGCTCGGCGCGCGCGTCATCTTTTACGCCCTCGTTGAACTAGCAAAGGCGAATGCGTTCGGTGTCGTTCAGGAGGTGTATCTTTTCGGTGCGACTGTGACGGCGTCGATGAAGGTGTGGCGACAAGTTCGAGGAATCGTCGCCGGTCGATTCGTCAATGCTTTCGCGATGAACGATTGGGTCCTCGGGTATTTGTTCCGTGCCACCTCAGGAGGTTTGCAAACCGTCGCTGGATTACGGCCGATCGAACACGTTCCAGATCTCGAAAATGTTGATATTACCGACATCCTCGTGGGGCACATGAGTTACCGTACCTTGATGCCGACTTTGCTCAAGTACGTCGGCTTCAAGGTCACCGCCGATCACTTCGATGAACCCGAAGAGATGGAACCCGATGCGCCCGATCGCGAGGTCCTCACCGCCGCGGAAGAACAAGAGCGGCTTGAACGCAAATCGCGAAAGAAGGTACTCGGGTTGTTCTCGAGGAGTAAGAAGTCGACACCGACGAATTCGGCACCAATGTCGAGAGCTCAGTCGAAGGATGAATATGATGATACACCGCCGAGACTTTCGTCGTCGTCTTCGACTTCGGTTGATCGCGCGTCGTCTGATACGGGGGATATCGGTGTTGGAGACCTCAAGTCCAAGAGGGCGAATCGGTCCTCTCTGTCCATCTCCACCGTCGATGATAGCGAATCAACGCACGATGGGGACTCTCCTGCCCTTTCTGAACCTTTGACGAACGCCGCTCCCGCCGTTCCCGCCATTCCCTCCGGCTTCGACCTCAACAAGATCCGAGCCGAAGTCGCTCAACTACCCGCACGATCCCCATCATCCCCTTCCTCCTCCTCTTCCACACCCTTCCCTCCGCACAGCCGAACTCGTACAACCGAGAGTGAACCCACGGACGTCCCTTCGCCCGCGATCGAAATCGCCCTCTCGCGTCCTCAAACCGATCTAACGAATCTCGATACGACGTTGGATCCTCGGGAATTACTTCGCCGACAATGGGCAGATGAATCGACGACGCCTTCTTCACTTGATCGCGCTCCCCCAGCTGTTCTCGAAGATCAAGGTTGGGGATCACCTACCACACCGATCGCTGGAACGACGAGTCTGGCACTTTCCGAACCGACTTTCACCTTCGCCAACGACCTTAATGGTGAACTTATGCCTCCATGGACGATGCAGACTCCCAAAACCGTTCCTACGAACGGGAGGGACGAGGAAGTCGTCGTCCCTGATCCGGCGGGAACTCCTTTCGTTTGGGGTGGTACGACGGGGAGTAATGCGAGTACGGTCAGCTTCAGGGAGAACCCATGGTAGGGGGTAGAGGGTTGGGGTAACTTTTTGTTTACTTTCCCCCCCTTTTTTTTGTACGACTCGTTTTGTTCTCAATCCCCCTTGCAAGCAGTTAATTCACTCGTGCGCTTTGTGTCTGCCTGAAAGTTTTGACAACTGGGGGGGGGGGGGGGGCAAAGCGAGCCAGAAAGAGTATACAGAATGAGATTGGAAAACGAGTGTATCTGAGCTACGTAATGTGTACAAATGAACGATGATGGTGATCGACTACATATGCGAGGAAGAACCCGAGGGGACAAAAAAAACAACACGAGAATAGGTAAGGAAAAAAAGACATGCAGGGGTTCTTCGTGATAGGATACGAGTTTCATCAAAAAGGCACGAGACGATCGGAATCGGCTCTTCTAATCGTCGTCATTCCCATCGACGTCGGAGATCCCCGAAGCGGTGATTTGGAATTTGCCATCGCATTCGGGTAAGCAAGGCGAATCGACGATCTTGGCGATACGTTCGGGACCACGACCTTTGCGTAACGAGAGACGCGTCGTACTCGCGTGGGCCATGATGTTCCCACCGATGGGTTTCTTTTGATCACCTTGCACACCCGGGGCATTGTCGACCGAGGCGACGACTTGGTTCGTCACGACGACCGCGATACCGAACTATGAGACCGAACGTGAAGAGTGTGAGCATTGAGTCACCTAGTCAGGACACGCGCTACAGAAGCTAGAGCTCACTTCATCGGCAAGCCTGAGAAGGGAGCGTAAGAACTTGGCGAGATGCATCTGACGAGCACTGAGTTCGCCTCGACCACTGAAATCGGTGCGGTACAGGGCCGTGACCGAGTCGACGATCATGAGCGAGAAACTGCGCCAACGAGTAAACGGCGGTCAGCCATCACGTGATCGCAGCGTCGATTGAGAATCGGGCTCGACTGACCGAGATTGAGCCATCATGCTACCCGCTTGAATGAGCAGCAATGCTTGGTGATCGGCGTTGTACGCACGGGCGTAGGCGACGTTGTCGAGCACATCCTCGCCGTTCATGCCGTAGCGCTCGGCGATCGCGAGCAGACGCGCTGGTCGGAACGTGCCCTCGGTGTCAATGTACAGGCATTTGCCCTCACCACCCTTCATATCGCAAGGAAGCTATCAGGAAAAGGTGACACGAGGATCAGTAACTAGACCAGACGTAGCCTTGTTGGCAGGACAGCGACGTCAAGCTCACCTGGCACGTGACCGCGAGCTGATGACAGATCTGGCTCTTTCCCGTCCTAAATTCGCCGTAGAGCTCGGTGATCGAGCCCGTCTCGATACCGCCTATGTGCGGAAGATAAGGGTCAGTATGATCAGCCCGACCCTTCCAGTTCGTCATCGGGTTCGACTGCGGTGCCTGTCGCTTACCTCCAAGAACATTGTCGAGCGCGGTCGAGCCCGTGGTGATCGTGACCATATCGGCGCGTCGGGCGTGGCTGTTGACGTTGCGTGGAGACATTTGTTGGGGTATCAGTCGAATGTTATGTTACCAGTGTCAAGCTCCCACCAATATAACAGGCTTACAACTCGGTTGCGGTCGTGAAGCCCATGGGGATCTGGTCGCACGCTGACGATGGCGAATGTTTGGAAGGTTAGGGCGTGCACAACGTCAAAAGTTCACGGCCCCCAAGGACATAGCACTCTCGGCGGTCTACACCGGCAGCTTTAGAACTATCACGAACCCAGTTTGAGCATCTTCTCTGCCTTGGCTTCTGAAATCCCCTTGACGAGCTGCAGCATCTTTTTGGGCGTGTAGGCGATCGACTCGAGTGTGTTGTAGCCTGCGTCCTTCAACTTGTCACAGTCCTTGGCCGAGATACCATGAGCCTGAAGGGGGTTTAAAGTAAGATAGATTGAACGGTATGAGTAGATTGTTCATGAAGTGTAAAGGTGCTGTGCGCCTGTGGTCTTGACCACTGACAATGAGAGCAGTGACGGGGGTCGGCAGCCCATGCGAGGCTTGCTCGTCCTCCTCGGGCACCTGAGAATGTTGCGACGACATGATGAGATGGGTCGGGTGATGGGGTGTAAATCAGTGGGTGGGAGTCGCAGCTGGATGCGGGTGGCGTGAATGGCGAGAGATACGAGAGGCAAGAGGCCGGCGATGTGGCGAGATGTCAAAAGCTGTCCAGACGCGTCGTCTCACTCAACCAGAGAATCGAGGCGGCTCCCGCGAGTCCGCTGCCTCGACCTAGGTGGCGCGGAAACCAGCTTTGGGCTTGAGCGCTTGAGCCCCGGACACATCTGCGCCGGTGAGGTCTCCACACTTTGATATTGTGACACCTCTGTAGAAAGAAGTACCTACTTGAAAACGCTTTTATTGCCGGTCCAGTGCGGCTTCGATTTAAAGTTTAAAGCCATAAATTACAGCTAGTCTTATTCAAAGACAGAATCTAACAAACGCTAGATCCGCTGGACCACCATAACATGTGTCATATATCATACACCCATATTGTATACGCGCCATTGCCTCGCTGGGATTAGGACTGATGCCCCCATTTCTCAGGGCTTACATCAGTTTTCCCTCCTCCCCCTCAGCTCCCGGCTCCTGAGGGTAGATGGGGCAAGGTTGCCACCATCGCCTCCACCAGTGAGGTATGCTACTACATATTCTGTTGGAATGTCCACCACTTCCGCTACGATCGGAAATGTGCTTCCTTTTCGCCCCTGACGTGTCGTCGTTGGCTGTGCGCGCACGAGCCCTCCTCTCCTAACGAGTTCGGCAATGCCTGCCGTCGGGTTTCGGGCGGATGTGACGGTGCGATACGAATCACATGATCCAAGCGCACCTTCGAGGAAGCGATCACACCTCACGAAAAGCTGCCAGCCAAGGGGTGATCCTGCAGCGGTTGAAGGGTTGCTCGGTTCCACTTCTGTTCCGCGGTCCACGGCCGTGCTGAAAACCAGGCAGGCGACCCGGAGCGTACGTACCGTGCAAGGTCTCCTAAGTTGCAACGGGCGGCGGCTCGTCGTCCCGCAGAACAAGGAAAAAGAGCGGAGCTTGCCGAAATATCGCTGGCACCCACGGGTCTGATTAGCTAGTAAACCCGCGTCTTAGCACCCGGGCGCTGTCTCTGGCTGTCTCTCATTGATCTCCTCCGGCGAATTATCGGTTCGGCCCGAGGCTTGCTTTTTCCCCTCTTGACCCTCCCACCCGTCACGCCCTCCCTTCTTCGTACTTCCCTCCTTCCCTCCGCTGTCTCCTCTCAGACTAGCTCGAAGCCGGTGTGTATCCGACCTCCTTCCGATACGTTAGACTCGTCCGGAGAATTTCGCCGACCCTCGACCACTCACATCACCACGCGGGACTTTCGCCCAACTCGGCTAAAGAGCATCAAGCACCATGTCGGACACACCCGGGAATGACCCGAATGCCGGTCCCATCGCCCTTCAGAGCATCGCGACAGCAAGTCTAGGACCTGTGTTCGTCGGTAGGTCCAACCTCCTCTTGCTCCTGGAGCGAGGCGGCAATTCGGGCCTTTCTTCGCGGCTAATTTCAAGCAACCGACTCGGAGCGGACGTTCGTGACGCTATTGGTAGTCCCACGCCCAAGAGTACTGATCGCCGATGAGAGATGTTCTCGACAGGGTGGATGGTACAGCTCATCTTCTATGGATTCGGGCTATCGTTGTTCGTGCGATACGTCACAGGCCCGCAGTATAAGGCCGACTCGCGAAGGATCAAGTTGTGGCTGTGGGCCGTCGTGTTCGCCGCCACGGGCCAAGCTGCGTTCGTCGCGATTAGCAGTCCTTTTCGGTCCGAACGGGGAAATAATCCAATCTGACCTCGACCCCTATACCTCTACTTGCTGGTGCATATTTCCGATAGTATCACGTTTGATTCGATATTCCATTATGGCACTTCCCAACGTCGTGACGTCGATACCCTGTATGCTCAGGTGAGTATGCACACCAAATCGCCCAGAACCTAGGAGGCGGGCCGGGAAGTCACACGAGGGTGCCACTTGCCGAAGTTACCTAAGGCTTGGATCTCGAAGCTAAATTGTGTTCTACGTTTTTCAGACGCTCGCAGATTGCTTCGCTACTGTGCCCACCGGTATCGTTGGGGCGCTCGTTCAGAGCTTTCTCGGTCTTCGGGCGGTCTCGGTAAGCACTGACTTGTTACAGTACCGAACACATATCTAACACCAGACACTTCATCGTTATCAACCAGCTCTTCGACAATAACCTCTATCGAAGCTTGTTCATTACAATGGCATCTTTGCTGATCATGGGTGGCCTTATCGGAAGTTGGCTCTTCGTCGCCGCGTCGTTCATGCTGCGCAACAACGTGACGCCACCGCCAGGGTTGTCCTTCACTTTAGCAAACGGGTGGGTCTGCCGAACGGGAAACACGTATCTAATAGTAGCACATCTGCTAAATCTCGATCTGTGGCCGACCCCTAGACTATGGCTGTGGTGCTGCTGTATCATGGACGTTCTCCTCACCGTCACTCTCTCGCTTCTGCTGTACAAACGAATCGTCGGCTTCAACTCGGGCACCGACTCGATGCTCCGCAGCGTCATCATCCTATCGATCGAGACGGCTTCCTACACCGCCACCTTTGCGTTGATCGCGGCGATCCTTTCGGACTCGTTCTCGGATGATTCGCTCCTCACCAACTCGACCGGTGCGTTTTACCAACCTCTGTCCTCGTTCTACCTCATCTCCTTCATCGTCACCCTCGCCTCCCGTCAAGGTTTGCGTGAGAAAACAGACGGATACAACAATAACGATGTCTCGTCCCCCGGAGTCTACGCCACACGCTACCCAAACAATAGCGCCGGCATTTCGCCGAAGCCGCCCCCCTCAGTCACGTCCGCCAGCCGGGTTCGCGCCCCAACGCCTCAGCTCGTGCGAATGCAAACGCTCGGCGATCCTCGTTCCGACGAAGACGAAGAGATGGATTTGAAGCATTCTTGCTCTCGAAAAGAGGTCCGCATCGAGATGTGAGAGACCGTCATCCATGTGTCAATGGTTCGGCATCGTCTTATCGAGCCTTTCGTCGTGGCTCGGTCGATCCCCCTATTTGTTCGTGGTGCCAACACGTTGATCCAGATGTACTTTGAACCTGGCACTTGATATGAGGTTGAGTAGTCGGCCCTCTTGATGGGTCAGTACCACTCTTGTCAATTTTCGGAATATTTCTTCCCTCTCCAAGCGTGCAATGGAGCAACGATGTGTTTTCGATCATACTACAGACGCTAGGTCCGGAGGATCCTTCGAATGATGGTCCTTTCACACGAGTCTCCAGTCCTTTTGGACATATTCAGATCTAGCACCATAGGCAACCCTCGACGCGTTTGCCCGGGAGCAGGCGCTAACTCTGCGGACGCTCTAGATTGCAAAGTCAAAAAGTCTAGGGCGCTGGCGGTGTCCAGGGAGTGCTAACTTCGCTAACTTCAGGCGCGCGCGTGCGCTTGAGGCCCGCTTAGGCAATGAAGTTGGCGAAGTTAGCAGAGGCGTGGGGGAAGTTGGCATTGGCCCACGGAAAGTTAGCAGAAGTCACGTGTCGCCCGCGGCGCGACAATCGCATCGAGCTCTTTCTCAGCCCCCTACCTGTCCTGATCTATGCCCAACGTCCGCACTTCTTCGGCCTTCGAGCCAACACAACCTATTCTGCCACGTCACCGCAAGACTCGCTCTCAATTGTTGATCCCATCCGATGCCGTTCAGCAAAGCCGATCGAAACGATTTGTCGCGAACAGCACGCCTGGGCGAGACACTGAACTAGCACATCTTACACTTTAGGTCGACGAAGACACGGAGTCGGGTTGCTATTTAATGCTCATCTACCTACATGAGCCATCGATCGAGCAAGACCGCCATCAATCTAGCATCACGAGCGCACCGACGTCAGGCTCCCGAGGTCCGCTGTCCACCGCCTTCCATCGCCGTCAACCGCCTACAACGCTCCAAAGCATTCTTGAAGACGGTCAGACCGATGAAATAGCAATTAGCGAAACTTGGAATACAGGCTGAGCATACCTTCAGATAAGGCAAGTTCAGGAGTCGCCGATAAGGATCATGTCGGAGCCAACTTTGGTCGACACGATCATTGAATGCACAACGAGTGCAGATCAATGGTAATAGCTCGATTACTAAGGATCGCCTCTGTGATCTCCGTTGCTATGCTGACATCAATCGTCACAACATCTTGCCATGAAATAGGGCCGTTCGAGAAAAGGGACCGTGAGTCGTCGCCCGTCGCCCGACCGTTAGCGCGTTTGCCGTGCCGCTCCATCTCGTTTACTGAAATCGGCGTTTCTTTGTTCCCCGTTCCCAGAGGAGTGACCAGAGAAATACATTCATGTTCCGATACCCAGCCCGACTCGTTCAACGCATCTATCGGTCACTTCGAGCTACCCTTCGCTTCGACTATTATAGTTCTACCGAGCCCACCTGGTCCGTATGGTCGAAGATCCCAATGGACGCCGTCTTTCAAGTAAGCAGAGCAACCAACAAAGTCGATTCTTTTCAAGAAATACCGAACACACGTTACAAGCATCAAACGGCAAGAGTGGCAGGTCTTGTGCTCCCTCGGCGATTGAGGACGAGATGTGCTTTGGAACTGCGGCGGGACGAAATCGTGACCGATGCGACCACTAAGATCGGAACACAAGGAGGACGCAGATTGGCTCCAGGACCTGCCATTTAGCGTGACTTGACTTCACGCTACCAACGAACTTTGTATCGAAGCTCGCAAGAAGAAGGATGGGCATGAGTCATGCTGGGACCATTATTCTTATGACCTCGGCTTGATCAGTATCGGCATCGGTATCGATCGCCATCCTTCCCTGCACTTCTTCCATGGGCATCCTCGGTATCTTGATATTCCATCGATCTTCAACTTACGACTTATTCCACCATTCAGGATGTGCTCTGACGGATACGAGCGCAACACAACGGTCCTCAAGAAGGGTGGCTCGAGACTCGTTGGCAGCTCCGATTGGCCTCGCCGAATCCGCGATCTCAGTTGACCGGTCGGTCCCTGACTCTAGC